CCACCAATGTGATATGGCTACAAAAACGGCTAATGCAGTCCTGGGATGCATCAGGCAAAGTATTTCCAGTAGAGATAGGGAAGTGTTAGAACCATTATACAAAACACCAGTGAGAACTCACCTAGGATACTGTGTGCAATTCAGGTTTCCCATGTTTAAGAAAGATAAATTCAAACTGGAACAGATGTAGAGAAGGGCTACTATTATTAGGATAATCTGAGGGAGTGGAAAACCTACCTTATTAGAGGAGATTCAAAGAGTATGGCTTGTTTAGCCTAGCCAAAAGAAGGCCGAGGGGAGATCTGATTGCTCTCTATAAATACATCAGAGGGATAAATACCAGGAAGGGAGAGGAGTTACTAAAGTTAAGCACCAATGTGGACACAAGAACAAATGGACACAAATTGACCATCAACAAGTTTAGGCTTGAAATTAGGTGAAGGTTTCTAATTATCAGAGGTGTGAAGTTCTGGAACAGCCTTCTAAAGGGCGCAGTGGAGGTAAAAAAAAAAATCTAACTGGTTTCAAGACTGAACTTGATAAGTTTATGGAGGGGATGGTATGAGGAAACTGCCTATAATGGCATATAGCTGAGCTGTTACTGCTAGTAGCAAATATCTCCAACGGCTGGTAATGGGACACTAGATGGGGAGGGCTCTTAGTTACTTCAGAGAATTCTTTCCCAGTTTCTGGCTGGTGGGTCTTGCCCACGTGCTCAGGGTCCAACTGATCGCTATATTTGGGGTCTGAAGGAATTTTCCTCTGGGTCACACTGGCAGAGACCCTTAGGGTTTTTCGCCTTCCTCCGCAGCATGAGGCTTGGGTTGCAGATTTAAATGGTGAATTCTCTGTAACTTGAAGTCTTTAAATCATAATTTGAGGATTTCAGTAACACAGCCAAAAGTTAGAGGTCTATTATGGGAGTGGGTGGGTGAGGTTCTGTGGCCTGCAATGTGGGGGTCAGATTAGATGATCATGATGATCCCTTCTGATTTTGAAGTTTCTGAGTTTCTTTGATTGTGCAAAACGTCTATTGACAATCAGGTTTCCTGTTAAAGGTGTTGTCTCAGAACAATAGAAGGCATGCCTTTATATAATCTATCTAGATGATGATGAAACTGAAACTGCCTACAACACTACTGAACACGTTTACCGACTGACTTTGCCTCTCTTTTCTCGTTAAAACATCTTGCAGAGAAGACGAATCAGAGAAAAATTGAAGGAAATTCCCATGGATAAAAACACAGCCAAATCAATTCTGATCGTATGATTCAAGTTGTAACTGCTGAAAGGTAGGACACTGAATACAAGCAGGAAATAGGCACGAGAATGAGCAATGTTACAGTTCAGTTGCTCACAATTTGTGTTCCTTTTCTGTAAGTACTCTAATTATAAAATGTGTCTAAATTTCTTTAGTCAAACTATATATTTGAAGTTACCTAATCTAAGATGGTTACATTAAACAATTATTTCAACTGTGCGAGCAATAGGCATCCAAAAGCCTTCAGAATCTGACTTTACAGATATGTAGATAGATACACATACACACGCTTTACTACAAAAATGGTAATTTCAGATTCTGAAGGTCTAATACCTATACAATTCAAATAATTGTTCAATAGGTACAGAAGATACAACTAGCTACACACACACACTCTGATTTCAGTAGGTAGCCAGAACTTAAAGTATAAAAAGAATAGCTTTTAGAATAAATGAAAATCTTTTAAAATTAGAATTGAGCTGATTGCATTGATATGAAAAAAAATACATAAGAAAAAAGCCTTTTTAGTACCAATATTTTTAACAAGTTTTCATTATACTAAAAATCTTCTCTTCCTGCCACATAACAAAATCAGGGTTTGTACCTCAACTACTTAGACTATATGCTTTTTTAGGTACGAATCACCTTCTTGTTCTGTGTTTGTACAGTGGCTAGCACAGCAGAGTCCTGGTCTAAGACTGGGGCTCCTAAGAGCTATGGTAATAATAATAGGTACAAATGTACCTTTTATACCTATTAATAATTTTAGCTTTATACAATATCTTGACTTTAGCAAAGCTTTTAATACAGTCTCCCACAGTATTCTTGCCAGCAAGTTAAAAGAGTATGGATTGGATGAATGGACTAAAAGGTGGATAGAAAGCTGGCGAGATTGTCGGGCTCAACGGGCAGTGATCAATGGCTTGATGTCTACTTGGCAGCCGGTATCAAGTGAAGTGCCCCAGGGGTTGGTCTTGGGGCTGGTTTTGTTCAACATCTTTACCAATGATCTGGATGATGGGATGGATTGCACCCTCAGCAAGTTCGCAGTTGACACTACACTGGCGGGAGAGGCAGATATGCTGGAGGGTAGGGATAAGGTCCAGAGTGACCTCGACAAATTGGAGGATTGGGCCAAAATAAATCTGATGATGTTCAGCAAGGATAAATGCAGAGTCCTGCACTTAGGAAGGAAGAATCCCATGCCCTGCTACAGGCTGGGGACCGACTGGCTGAGCAGCAGTTCCGCAGAACAGGACCTGGGGATTACAGTGGATGAGAAGCTGGATATCAGTCAGCAGTGTGCCCTCGTTGCCAAGAAGACCAACGGCATATTGCGCTGTATTAGTAGAAGCATTGCCAGCAGATAGAGGGAAGTGATCATTCCTCTCTATTCGGCACTGGTGAGGCTACAACTGGAGTATTGCGTCCAGTTTTGGTGCCCCCACAACAGACAGGATGTGGACAAATTGGAGAGAGTCCAGCGGAGGGCAATTAAAATGATTAGGGAGCTGGGGCACATGATTTACAAGGAGAGGCTGAGGGAACTCCTCAGAGTTATTTAGTCTGCAGAAAAGAAGAATGAGGGGGGATTTGATAGGAGCCTTCAACTACCTGAAGGGGGGTTCCAAAGAGGATGGAGCTATGCTGTTCTCAATGGTGGCAGATGACAGAACAAGAAGCAATGGTCTCAAGTTGCAGTGGGGGAGGTCTAGGTTGAATATTAGGAAACACTATTTCACTAGGAGGGTGGTGAAGCACTGGAATGGATTACCTAGGGAGGTAGTGGGATCTCCATCCTTAAAGTTTTTTAAGGCCTGGTTTGACAAAGCCCTGTCTGGGATGATTTAGTTGGTGTTGGTCCTGCTTTGGGCAGGGGATTGGACTAGATGACTTCCTGAGGTCTCTTCCAATACTTATATTCTATGAATTCCTTCCCCCAACTTTTGAAGGAGTCAAGAGGAGTGGCACAGTAGTCAATCCTTGCTCACAGACCTTCATGATGTATTTTGTGTTTGTGTGTGGGGGAGAATGAGGGAGAGGAGCAAGAAAACAGCAATTGGGGAAGAGCAGAGGCTTCAGATTTGTCAGAGGCTGATGCAAAAGAGATCCTCAAGAATAGTCTGCGGACAACACCCTTGTAAGAATCCCAGCATCATCCTCTTCATGGCAGCTGGGAAAAAGTAGGTTGTGTTTCTCACTAAGATATTGTTCTTGGATCTGCCTGGTGGATCCCCATTTCCTCACATTTTTTATTGGCCCCTTTGGCCAGTAAGCTGCTAGCTGATTAAGTGCCTGATAAATTTTTCAAGTTCTGCAGTAACCCAAAGTCATGCAGGAGTAGATAGTCACTTTTCCGTACAGGCCCTCAGATGGGTGAAGTGGCCTCCAAATTAATTCTAAGTACAAGCTCTTTGCTGAAAGCTGAAAATATATTTGGATAAGATTAACTTCTTACTGCTGAACAAACTTCTAGGGGGAAACATTTTCTTTGGAGTGGTCTTCTTCACTAGTCAATCCTATGACTAAACAGACCACCCAACAGTGACAACCAGTGGAACACTCCCTCCAAGAATACTGTGCTGACCCAGTCTGCCTGAATGTCCTCTGTATTGTGAGAAAGACAACATGTGTCGTTCTTGCAAAGGAGCCCCCCAGCTCTGCACAGGGTGCACAGCCTTCAATTCTAGGTCAACACAAAACAGTACTTCAAAGACCAGAAGCCTTGGCAAGACTGATTGCCAGAGAGTCTCTCAAGGAGGCTGACATCTGTCATTTATATCATGTACAGGACTAAATACCCCACAAAAGTCTTAACACATAATTCTTCCAAACTGTTCATCAAGGAGGTTGTTCAGCAAAATTAACTGGGTGGCAAAATGATTATATTTTTTGGGGGGGCAACAAGAGAAACAGTAAAAACAAATGACAGAAACATGATTTAGGATACTATCTGAATTCTGCAGTTCATTTCCATAGGATCCATGAAGCCCTATGCAAATGAAATAGAGATAAAATATCAACCTTATTTTAGTTATGAAAGGAACGGTCATCCAGCACATAACAATATTCACTGCAGAGATGTGATAATTAACACATTACAGCATCTAAAACAATAGTGCTATTGGTTATTAAGGGCTCTATGCTGCAACTCTGTATGCAGTATGCATCCGATGAAGTGAGCTGTAGCTCACGAAAGCTTATGCTCAAATAAATTGGTTAGTCTCTAAGGTGCCACAAGTACTCTTTTTCTTTCTGTATACAGAGCTTCCTTTGAAGTCAGCAACTTTCATTTTTGGAGTGCCTGCAGCAATTCCTTAAGATATTTCTAGGCCATCTCTGTACTTATTTCTGACCAACAGACTTTTTGTTCAATCAAAGTGACAAAAGTGCAGCTGTAGACCTACTCACACATACTATTTTTAGACGGCAAATACACAAAACACAAAGTATTTCTCTCTCTCTCTCTCTCAAGGTAGTTCTCATACCCAAAAGCTCCTCAGCCCCTACTGGGCTTATCTATTATCTTTTTACTTATGTAACAAGTGTTACATTTTATAAAAGCAGAAGGGAAATATTTAGATTAGGAGAATGCAAAGAAAGGCAAATGTCTCTTCTAGGATTTTTGTTTTGTTTTTAAACTTCAAGCTGCTATGGAAATCCAAACACACCCCTCCATTATACTCAGTTGTCTGCTTAAATTGGAAAGTTTCAGCAGACAAAGAGTTAAGAGACGCATAAGGTTTTTTCCACATCATTCACAGTGCTGTGATAGCAACCCAGAGGTTAAAGCCACAGCAATACTATTTATAATCAGCTACAATGTAGTTTCTACAGATCTCAGACTGATTTTTACTTCCTTAAAAGGCTGCGTCAGAGCAATGACAAAACCAAACCAGAGAAGCTCAAGCTTCCTTTCATTATTACGTTAGAGGACATTGCTGCTTCTGAATATTAAAGGGACTACTGCAGAACAAATATTATGCAGTTAAGTGAACTAACCAGGAAATCATTTCATGTTAATATTTAACTGATTTCACATGACATGTCGACATAAGGAACAAAATGAAGGACTTAGCCTGAATTTTCCACGAAGGACAATGGATTACACATGAGATTTCTTTATTAAATTCTGCTGCAAATATCTGGCTTCTCTTGTACAAGGTGAGTTTCCATAAGCTGGGTTTTAAGATTTATTTATTGCTACATCCCTTAAGAGAACTATAAAGAATGCTTTAATTTTGACCAAAGCATTACACTTAGTTTTAAAAGTGTTTTTCAATATATTGTTTGTCTGAAAAATACAGTTCCTGTTATGTATGTTTACGAAGAAAGATTATTATATGTACAAATCAAAGCTTTAAAGTCTTCATAAAATTCAAGATCTTGTAACTGCAATTTAAGGTTTCTAGCAAACAACTCATTTTCTTACAACTGCGTAACCCAGTGTTTTATAGCTTTTGTATTAGCATTTGCATTAAACTGCAGTGCTCAAAAATTTTGTGCAGTAAACAAACGAAGATAACAGCTAATATATTAGTCTTCATAAACCATTTTGATGTTCTAGGCAGTACGGATCCAGTATTCAACTTTTTAGCGTCAAAAGGATTTTAATTTCAAAGAAAGTATTTATTTGGGGTCCAATCTAGCAAAATTTTCATTTACCTCATTTGAGGATAAGTTCCAGAACAGAAGATGTTTCAAAACAATTTATTTGAAAAAAAAGTCATAAGTAGTAAGGATATAATAAAGCAACATTCACTACTATTACTTTCTTTCAGAATGCAGGCTTAGACTTTAACATTTTCTAGAATTTTATTGCTCACTTCCCTATATAATTCTACCACCATCTGTTGTATAACTCTCTCTCTAATCAGATGATAAGCTTCATTTCAAAGGTTTTTTTAATATATATATGTACTCAGGTTAAGTGCTTTTTAACCCCTTGCTTTCTTTATAATATTTTCTCTTCTAAAGGCATTTGATTCACTGAATTATGAAGATGTGTGAACTAAAAAGTTTAACTAAACTTTAACTTTAAAGAAATACACAAGTGCATATGCAGTAGCTGATTTAGGGATACAGTGATGTGGCATGCTACCAATAGTTCCCCCTCTCTCCCACACACATACAATCCAGAAAAGTCACCACATACAAACCTTGGAATTTTAACATATTAACCAAAATTTTCAATTGAGTGCCTGAATTCAGCACCTAAAATTTATACCAAACAGAGGTGCCAAGCACCCGAAATAATCATTGACTTCAGCACCTCTGAATCAAGACACATAGGTACCTAAGTTTGAAAGTACTGGCCATAACGTAACAAACTACTCTGAGTATCAGGTATATAACCATAATAACTCTTTGCTTATGATGATACTTGTAGATATTTTTGTTTTAGTATATGCAAATTCAAGTTCACCCAGGTACAGAGGGCTTGAGCAAAGGTCCTCCATACACACTGCCCCTTTGAGGGCAGATGGAGGTATGGGCAGAATGGCTTTGCAGGAGGCTCTCCATATTGGCTCAATATATTGCCTGGAAGGTCAGATAGGGGCTACAGGATATTCATATATCCAGTGGCCCAAACTTCCCATTGAGAAGCATAGAAAGAGCAACAGCTGTTTTTCCAGCTTTATATGGTATAGTTTTTCCAGCTTTTTATGGTATAGTGACTGTGGAGGGCTTGTGTTTTAGCCCCATGGCCTCATGATGGGTGACCTGGAATTCTGTATTTCCACAGAAAGCTTGCCTATTCAAGCCTTGTGCAGAAAGGAGGGAATTTCAACCTGACCATAATGCTCTACTTGCCTTTAAATGTAAGCATACTGAAGAAAGTTTGCAGTACCTTCAAAAAAATTAAGTAACAACTGGCACAAGAAAAATGAGATTATAGTGAAAATAAACCACTGACACCGTCACTATAATTTTAAACTAAATACAGTCACCTTCACTAAGGGGACACTGTCAAGTTAAAGACATCTAGGTAGATTGTTAGCAGAGACTTCTGATATTTATATATCCTATGTAAAACTTATGTATATTCTTGTTACTGTTCTCTTGTGTCCTTCCTACTCTCAATCCTTCCATGCATTTTATCTTTCTTAGACTGTAAACTCTGCGGCCTAGGACTTTTTTTGCTCTGTGCAGTACCTAGCACACTAGGTTCCCAATCCTGACTGAGGCCAGTTAGTGCTACAATAAATAAAACAGATTACGAATATTTCCATGAAAAAATGTTAAAGTGGATTTTTCACCATTTGTTTATTTTTTACATTTGGAATTAAAATATTATGCATATTCCTAAAATGTCTAAGAAATATATACTGGGGAAGGAATCTTCTCTTCTTACATGTTTGTGAAGTGCTGTATATATTTATGATACTATACAAAAACCAAAACTCTTTATAATGCTTAGCTACTACAGTGCTAAGCACTATAGAAAAACCCAAGACAAGTCCTAATAATCTCATGCAAAACCCCCTAGAGGATGCTATTTATAGGTTTGACTGTTTTAAAGTCAGTTTAAATATAAGTAATAATAAACAGACTATAATTTGATTTCTCAGTAACTCCTCAGTTTTTAAATCTATCCATTAAGAAAAAAATTCCACCTCCTACAGAGATGTTGCATTTCCTAAGCTGGTTCTAAAGCATATAGATAGCAGTCCTATAAAAATGTATATGCTAGTGGATTTTCAATATCGTTTAATAACTTTGCATTTTCTGTCCTTCAATGCAATACTTATGCTGATGTCCAGCACAGTGAATGTCCCATGTGACACATGCCCTAGAGATCCCACCATTCACTGATTCAGAGTTACTTCTTTGTTCTTTTTAATAATTCACTCATTATAAAACAGTTTTTCTGGCTCTAAGACAAAGCCAATGCCACCCTACTATAACAAACCCTCCACCCCGTAACCCCTTCTACTGGGTACATAATGTCCATTATACTAACCCATTCTTGGATCTGTTAGTCAGTTGGCAGCAGGCTACACTTCCAGTGCCTGTCACGTTTCATTTCTGCTGTGAAAACACTTGTGTCTATCTTTCAAAGACATTCTTCTCGTCTTGCTTTCTCTACAACATGAAAAGGTTGATGCTGGTGTGAGTGCTGAATTGTTCAGCTTCAAGAGATGTAATGGGCTCACTTAAAATCATGCTTGCATATATATGTTTACAAAGTAAACATATCCCTTATGAGCCACTAAGAAAATATTCTTCTGGGACCTGATTTCCTGATGTTGTTCTTAGGCCTGCGTGTTCAGTGCATACTGAAGAGTACTGCTGACTGATGCACAGTTAGGGCATAAAGCAAAATGGATGAATCTTCCGTCTAGTGTTCCAGAAAATGGATTAATGTGCTGAAGGGGAAAAATAAGACATTCTTCCAGCTTGAAATCCTGAGCTCTTTAGTAAGGACAATATGATAAATACATTATTTGCCAAAAGTCTAATAAGATTTAAAGATTATATGTTATAGAAGATCTCCAATTTTCGACTTTGATTTGTGTTGAGTTGTGTTATCCTCTGTGTGTAATGCTTTAGAAGCTAGAAAACATTACTTTATTTGTCCTTCTATTTGAAAAACATGAGAAACTTTTGTTTTAACAAAAGCATGAATCTTAAGATTGCAAGAGAGCTATGGAAAGATCTAGATTAATAAACTGCATTGATTTTCTTTGTTCATGAGATTCTAATGAAAAATTCTGATATCAAGTGATGACAGATGCAAAATATGCTATATTTATGTGTGAAATATCAATATTTTGCTACAAGCAGTTAACTTAAATAAAGGTTAAAAAAAGTATTACATAAAGCAGTAGAAAGCATGAATGGTCTTCACAATTACATGTAAAACTTAAAAGTCCTAAAATAATATTTATCAGATGAGATTCAGTGAAATTGACAGTCTTTTCTTTTCTATATATCCTATGCCAAATACTTCAAGGATAAGGATTAATGACTTTGGGAGACTGGACTGCTGTAATGTCATGCTTATGATCTGAGGTATCTGTAAATGTATATATATTTTCACATATACAACATGAAATTCTAAACCGTTTTGCTGTAACAGAACTGAATTGACTGATCTATACATATTAGAAAGTAAATTACAGCTATTGTCTTTTAAGGATAGGTTTAAGTAAGCTAAAAACAAGAAAATGCATTGTGGTTTTAGGTTTTGTATTCAAAAGCACTAATTTAAAAGACGTTACAGACAAAAAACAAATGAACCATGGCTCACTTTTTATTATAATGATGGTAACAAACAAACTATAGAGATACCTTTGTGGATCATATTGTGATCTTTGGCTCTTATTTTAGTAGTTTTTCTACAGCTAAAACATATCACAGAGAGAGATATGAAGCTTTAGTATTGTCAAAACATATCTGGTATGTCCTATCTACTCCTGTCAGAGGAGCATCCATTTAATAACAGCTGTAAAAAGAGACTAAAATATTAAATAACTCTTGGGCTGACAGAAGAAAAAACAAAAATACAGCTAATGTAAGTAATAATTGGAATCTATGGAAAATGCAACAGCGGATATGTTCAGCTCCTTGTTGTCAATAAGGATGAACACAGGGTGGGGGAAACAAAGTTAAAGTTTATTTTAAAATGTGACACTTATTCCTAACTGCCTTCCCATATTGGTGCTTGTGAAATTTAGCACTTCTATGCAATACTAAGAATACAATTTCTGCATCTACAAATGCACAATTCCTTTAACAGGTTAAAGGAATTAAAACACTATTTTCCCCCCCTTTTAGGTAATTTGAAGTATGTTTAATTGAACTATGGTCAGAAGAAAGTTTCTAGAGAGCAAAAAATGAACCAACTTGATGCAACAAAATCAGGATTTTTAATGTGCATTGGACTCTGTATTTTCATCTTCACTTTTATCTATGTAAGAAACACATTTTCTAAAGAACCAAGTGAACAAAAATCCTTCCCAGATACAGCAGAATGTGGTGTTTATCCAGATGAGCTTTGTTCAGCGCTTTTTGAGGGGAAAAGTGCAGCACCTCAAATTGGAAATTTTTGTCAGATGATTCACCAACCTGAAATGCCTGACTGCATACGGACTCCATGCAATTGCTCTACAGTCTTGAAGACTCTGCATTTTATAACAAGACCACTGTCTGAAGAAGAAGGAAACTTCTCCTTGGCATATATCATCACAATTCATAAGGAGTTAGAAATGTTTGTGAAGCTACTCAGAGCCATTTATCTGCCTCAGAATGTATACTGCATACACATAGATGAAAAGTCACCACGGTATTATAAAATCGCAGTGCAAACACTAGTTAACTGCTTTGAAAACATTTTTATTTCATCAAAAAGAGAAAATGTTGTTTATGCAGGATTTTCAAGATTACAAGCGGATATTAATTGTATGAAGGATTTAGTTAATGCTAAAACTCAATGGAATTATGTTATTAATTTGTGTGGCCAGGATTATCCCATCAAAACGAACAAAGAAATTATACAGTACATCAAAAGTAAATGGAATGATAAAAATATGACTCCTGGGGTGGTCCAACCTCCTCATATGAGACATAGGACGCATCTTAGTTACAAAGAATATGTACATTCAGGAACATCCTACGTGTATCCAACCAAGAATATGAAAGATGATCCTCCACATAACTTAACTATATATTTTGGTACTGCTTACTATGTACTCACTAGAAAGTTTGTGGAGTTTACACTGACTGACGTACGTGCAAAAGATTTGCTTGAATGGTCAAAAGACACATACAGTCCAGATGAGCACTACTGGGTCACACTGAATCGTTTAAGTGGTAAGACGCATGTTATTTATACCATGAATTGCCTCCTTGTCCCACATTATTATGACATTTCACCCCAGGAGGGTGATGAGGTTCCCTTTGGAACCCAGTGGTGCCATTGTATATCACCTGCAGAGGTTATTTCCTGCATCCTCAGTGGATGTACTGCAGTGTCCACATCCCTGATGGTTTGGGAAATAAAAGATGGAATCTTAAAGTAAAACAAGTCTCACAAATGGCAGTGCAGACCACTAGTCACTGGGCTAGAAAAATGCAGCTTTTAAGCATGTCCCCTACCCCCCATCTATTAATGACTTGTTCTAATCGAGTAATAAATTGGGCAAACCTATTAGATACTTCCATTTTCTGTTATTTTTAATATTGGTAAAATGAAGAAACAATAAGGCAATACTTTTAAAAGACTGCTTCAAAGAATCTAAATTATTTGTGTTACATAGGAAAAAAAAACAAAAACCCACAAAACTCTGTTTGGCTTTGGTTTTTTTTTTTTTAGATGCTCCAGCTGCTACACCAAATGCACAGTGGGAAGGAAATATACGAGCTATTAAATGGAAAGATCAAGAAGGAGTTGCACATAATGGCTGCAAAGGTAATGTGATAACTGAAAACAGAACTAGGCCCTTTCAAAACATATTGTATTTATGAAATACCACTATCAGATAAATTGATGCACTTGCTCTAACATCCATTGCAGAATAATTCTTATGTTTCATAACTATCCATGAAAGGTCTCAGTCATGGATATTTTATTTTTAAAGTATCAAATAAAAGCAACCATACTAAATTACTCTCTTATACCCAGTCCAACTATCTTTCGATATCTTAGAATACTGCAGACTGTTACAGTACCTATTTAGTAAACTGTTCTTTTAACCCCCAACTAAGAAGATATTTCTATAATTAAGTGAGTTAATGACAGAGTTCCACACATTTTACGTTTCAGTAGCATTAAATCTTAAACTAGTGTTTTTACAAGCCACTGCACACTCACATAATTCCCACCTATTAAATGAACGTGTATCCAGTGCACTAACCTTAGTAGCTCCAGTCTTAAACAGAAGAACAGATTTACTTGTCATCCATTTGACAAATATGCATGTTGAACGAGTGAGTGTGCATGTGCCCATAAGGTAACTCAGGGTTGGCCTATGTGCAGTCCAGAAAAATAGGCAAAAATGCAGAAATATAGTGATGTCTAAAGAGCAGTTTGACCCTGGTTGAGTATTCAATCACCCACTTTCATTTAAACCTGCAACTGCCATAAACTAAGCATACAGGAAATTTAGGTACAGGATAAAACAAGAAGAATGGATTGTTGTATCCCAGAGGAGAGCATGGAATCAGACCACCAACAGGTCAAGTGAGCAACATGAAGCACTGCAATGTGTCACTGAAGCAGCAAGTCTGAGTACAATGTACACCCCTTTGCCTAAAATCAATAACAGTATGTAGCCCCTTGTTTTCATAAGTAACTAAACAGTAATATTCTTTAGATTTACTTGAACCGTGCTTCATAAGCAGATATATCTATTTGTCCTTTATGTTAGTAGCACCTTAAAGTATTTTAAAAAACATCTAATTCACTATTCCCCATTTGTGTATCTTCTGCATTTCAGTCAGCTGGGAATTGTTAATATATTTACATTTTGTCTTTGCAGGTCATTACATCCGAGATATTTGTGTCTATGGACTGGGAGATTTACAATGGATCATTGAATCACCTAATTTATTTGCCAACAAGTTTGAGCCTACAACATATCCACTTGTTATGGACTGCCTAGAGAGACGCTATAGGCTTAAAGTACTGCAGCAAGCTGAAGTCCCACTAGAAGCCCACTGGCATTTTCAGGAAAGTAACTATTTTAACATGAAGTTGAATGTCTGAGCCTACTGAACATCTAAAATATTGAGGGGAAAGAATGGGAAGAAATTAACATGTCTTTTAACAAGTGCAGAGTTCTCTATGTAAATTATATTTAGGGAAGGTGATATTATCAATCCAGCTCCTGTTCTGTTGTTCACCAACTACCATCTCTGGGAACTACAAACTGTAAGAAAGTTCCTAACCATGTTAAGAAACCCTTAATTACTGAGTAGAGTAGAACCACTATTACTTCAGTACAGACTTCTTTTGAGAAAGTTCTGAAGAATATGGACAAAAAGATCAGAAGACAAATTTTTAATAAGGGAAGAAGTGGCTTTTCCCCCTACACCTGAATAAACTACCATATGATTACATATGAGACTTATCAAAGAGAAGCAGAAAATTCAAGCTACTCCTTAAAATGATTCATTCAATGGGGAAATCATTGTTCTATATGTCCCTGAAGAAAGCACCATTCAAGTTGCTGAAACAGAATATAAGAAGCACAGACTGAACAAAGACAAAATATTAAGATTTTAAAGTTAAAGTGGTCTCTAACTATATCTAGTAAGTAACTTATTTTGAATCAAGGGAGATGATTATGTACAGTAGTCTTAAAGGGACAGTGTAGGTTGAAAACATTCACGGAGTTGTTTTTTTAACCTAAGAGAGTTACAAGTAACGCCTAAATTTCTAAAACAAAGTCAAGTGTCAAGTGATATGTATACATATACATACACACACGTGCTATTTTCTCAGTTTATTTTGTGTATTTGTCAGCACTTTGTATATAGTGAATTCCACTGGTTTTGTTGATGGCCTGTTGCACTTCCTGGCTCATGCACTAGCATGGCAACATCACTTATGCACTGCTCTGGTGGAAGCTTACATGCATATTTTTCACTGGAGGGTATTTATCAGTAGCAGAACTGCTGTTAGTTGAGTTTGGAGCTGGGGGTGCACTCTTTTCCTGAGATCTCTGAATGGAACTGGAAAACAATGGGAGCAGGGACAGGGCAAGAAGGTACAAACAGTACCTGGGGTTTGGGAGCAACTGAAAACTGGGCAACAGGCCCATACTTCCATTCCACAGGGTATGTGCCTGCGGATATATGCAGGCAGCCCAATTCTTTCCAACACCTAAACATAGCTGTAGAGTTCAGAGAATATCTAGCCACATATGGACATGCACACCACCTCCAAATCCATTTGTGGACTAAAGGAAGCACTGTTCTGCATCTGGAAGGTGGTGTCCCCATCCAGACCCTATGAACAACCAATAAACAGAGGCAGTAGCGCAAGGATTCCACATAGTTTTGGGCAAGGACTTGTCTTCACTTCCTGGGACTCCTCTACTGGTTCTGGGGAACAAAGCAGTTCTTCTCTCCTTAAGCCCCTCCTGGCAGGCCTTACCTCAATCCTGCGCTGAAATGACCAGGAGTATGGGGCACAAGTCTGTTTGGGTGTGTTGGTGTTCTCAGGCCAGCCCATTCTCCCTTGAGCAAGAAATCCACATCAGCAGAAGAAAAAAACAATTCAGACTATGTCACTGATGAAAGGGATCTCTTGGAGAAACTTCCATTTTTTTAGGCCACTTAAAAAAATCCAAGTCATCAGTGTCCCCGGAAAAAAATGTGTGCAGTGGCACCTCAGTCCCATGACCCCAAATACACTCCTACATTACCTAGAAGTGAACTTTGACCTCATAAAATACATACTATTATTTACACATTGCACATCTAGAGACTTCCATCTAGATACTATTTTTTTTTCTATGGCTGCCAATGGGTCCTGCTTCTTGAAAATTTTAGAGGCATTCAATAGACCTTTGCTGTGCTCTGCTATTTATTTATGTATGGTATTTAATGGACTTCTGCCATGCTTTGCCAAGCACTTTTAAAATCATCTGATACCACTCTCTGGAGTTCCTTTTTCACTCGTCTCAGTCTCCCCATATTATTTCTCTGGGGAGTTTATAGGGGCTGCCTTAAATTTAACCCATTCTCTAGCATGGTACTAATTTCTTCATATTTAAATTCTGAAACCCTTTTAATGCCATTTCCCTAAATGCTAGCTTATGACCCCCACACTAAGGGGTGTATACATTACATACTCTAGACGAGCGGATCCAAGTTATGGCACTACTATTTTGGGGTTCCCCCAAGAACTCAGTTCAACTCCAGTCTCGTCACTTAGCTTCCTTTGTCAGGCATACAGCAAAGTTGCGCTGAGTTGATCAGACTCAAGTGTCAGGGGTGGATATATGGCACACATCCAAAGTTACCCAGCATACCTCTTCTTTTATTTAAATTTACCCATTTGCACTGCATCATACATTTTGGGGTTGGCTCTGTGACTTTGAAAGAACAAACCCCTATACAGCATGCACTGTCCAAACACTACTGACTTTTTACCTCATTTTCTATTCCAGGCTTACCTTATCCATTATGACCTTGTCCATTGTAAATGGTTCCCTGGGTGTCCAGACATTCTGTTTCCAGCTTGATGATCCATTTACCTCCCTAATCCTGTCTCTCAACAAATAAGGCCTCACGCATGTCCAATTACTCATGTCAAGTCAGACCTATACCTGTGAGGTAGCAAAGTATTATTCCCCCCTTTCCAGATGCAAAAACTGAGCCACAGAGAGGGTAAGTGACTTACCTAAGGCCACAGTGATTTCCCTTCCTGAGGTTGAGTTTGGAGCTGAGCCATACTATTGAATGGTTTCTTGGCAGCATGGTTTATTTGAAAAGAACTTTAACATAAGCACTGAGCGTCTGTTTCCCTATTTATTTAGCAAATCAAGAAATTCAAACTCTGCCTCCATAATTATCCATGGCATAAAAAAAGATCAGAATACAACTTAGTTATTTAAAAATACATTGCAGCATAAATCTTATGAATTTCATGGTTTAGAATCACAGGATAAACTAGCAAATGCCTTTTCTCAAGAAAATTCAATAGAAGAGCATTTTTCACTTTGTTTAGACTGATTGAAAACTAGGGATTTTTGTCACGTGCATCAGTCATAACAAAATTAGCTTTGAACCATCTCTTTAAATACCATTATAAAACATTAGGTGTATTTATCTGCTCTGCACAAAGTTTTAGAAAATAAAATGTAATGATCACAATCATTTTGTTATCAGAGCCACTATAAAGGACTCACAGTGCATAGCTTGCAAGTTAACAACCCAATCTGCCATCCTTATTCACAATGAGAAATATCTTTCTACATAATTAATTAAATTAGTGGTTTACTTGTGTAGCAAGGAATCAATTAACATGTGTATGGATAGCAGAATCTGGCCCTAACAGAATAAAACAGAGAAAAAAGATTTAGTTTACAGCTGACATATGTACATAAAAAAGCCTCGTTAAAATAGTATTAAGGTACGATTTAAGAATGGACAAGCCAAGAAGTTCAGAGTCAAGCCTGATCCTTCCTTAAATGGCTCTTCTATATTTTAATATAGTTTAAATGCAAAATTCTCCATATAAAAATTTGGGGGGAGGGCAAGAAGTCATCTAATGTCGACACAATGGGGCAGTTTAAAAAAAAACATTTCATCCCTAACTCTCAATTGGCACAATCTCGTTAAAGTAAAAGCCTTAACAGTATTTTAACTGAGTGTTTTCAACCACAATTTTAAAACAAGTCATTAATGTGACTGGGAGCTGAGAACAGCATTAACATATATTTACGGAAATTTATGAAATGCACATTATTGTTTACCAGCAAATTGTTCAGGGTTGTTTTAGTCTCATGTCAATCTGCATTTACTGACTTTTAAAAACTGTTGACTCAATAAACTTCAATCTATCATGTCAATCTGATTATGTACAAGGAAACAGTATGCTGTATAATGTATCAGAGATGCACTGATTCTATGGATGAAAGGCATTTGAAACACTTCTGAAAGTTGTTGCACATGTGCAACAGCTGTGTTTTCAAGATAAGCATATTTGTGTATGTTTAAAAGGCATTATTTCAAATAAAGTACTATATCAAGAGTGTATTAAAATTTGTTGAAAATGAAACATTTTCAAAATAAAATGTTAAAGAAATGCAAAAGATGGCATATAAAACCACCACCTTCTATTTATTCACATTTACCTTACCACAGCTTATGATAAATGTTATATTTAAAAAGATGACCCTGGTATCAGAGAGCCTGTTATATATTGCAAGGATAAAAATAGAATCTTAAATATGGTTTTGAAGAACATAATGAAACTTGTATTTCGCTAATTTATCAAATTAATGGAACAGATGTACATTGTTCAAGGTTCCGCCCACTCTCCCATCCTGTCCAATATACATATTAATCCCCTTGGTCCCTTCAAGTTCAGTCTTTGCTCTGTAGGAATGCTTGAATAATATTGCCAACTGTATGCATTACAGCCTTCCTACTGAGTGCTTGATGAAGTTGTGATTGCCTGCCTGAGGTGGCTCACATCTCCATTTGCTCCTCCCACTTGTTATTCAGAGGGGTATAACCTAGTTAAGAATCTTGATTTCACTTTTGACCATGGCCTGGCCTACGGTTGCCAACTGTTTGATCACAGAAACCTAAACATCCTTGCTCCGTCTCTTCCCTGAGGCTCCCCTCACTCCATCTCCCCATCCCTGAGTCTCTCGTTCTCCCCCACCCTCACCGGGCTTGTAGAGAGGGTTGGTGTGTGGGAGGGGGTGTGGGCTCTGGGCTGGGAGGTGGGGCCAAGGGGTTTGAAGTGTGGGGGCGGGGCTCTGGGCTGAGCCTGGGGCAGGAGGTTGGGATGCAGAAGGGGGTGTGGGGTGCAAGCTCCAGCCAGGGGTCACTTACCTTGGGCGGCTCCTGGGCAGAGGGGTTAAAGGCAGGGTCCCTGGCACCCCGCCGCTCCCAGAAGCGGCTGGCACTTCCAGCAGCGGCTCCGTGTGCTGCCCAAACCCGCAGGAGCCTCCCCCCAGGGCAGCAAGGACGTGCCAGCCGCTTCTGGGAGCGGCAAGAGGCAGGGCAGGCCTTAGCCCAGCTGCTCCGCTAGACTTTCAGTGCCTAAAATCTCTGAGTTTGGCTTCAGTGGCCCCCGGGAGATAGGACGTGATTCCGGGAGACTCCCGGTAAAACTGGGAGGGTTGGCAACCCTATGGCCCACCCATGGAAGCCTGAAACATATCTGACACTGTAAAAAAAGTGCTTTTTTTGGTTGTGCCATTGCATCTTCACCACTCGATGACCTCAAAACAGCAACACAGACCACAGACTATAGTGACACGCCTGGTTTACTGTAAACCTCTCGTCAGTCCTCTCATTGTGGCTACTCCTTCACCCACAGTTTCTTCAGAATGTTGCATCACAGTTGCTCCAAGGCTTGAGCTACCATGATCACATTATGTGCACCCTGTATGCCTTATAGTTGGTGGCTATAAAGGAGAAAATTAAAAATCAGTAGTCCCAGTTTTAAAGTCTTAGACCCTAACGGCTTTGGACCCTGATTATATCAAGGTCTACTTACTAGTGGAACTTGTTCTAATGCTCTTACTAAATGCCTTTGAGATGACCATTATCAACTTGAAAACTAGCCATTTTCTAAAAAACAGAGTTAAAATAATTTCAGCTATTATACCTGTTGCTAAATCACCCTGTTAATCTCTGCAGCTTCACAATAGTTTCCTTTTTTATAATGTTTTTTCATCCCGGTTGCTACATGAAACATTCACACAAAAACAGTAGAATGACTGACTACACAGGAAGAGTATGAAAATGTCCATTATATGCCAAGTACTAGCTCATCAGCTGGTATCAGTCAGGATAGCTCCATTAAAGTCTGTGGAGCTACAGCCTGTATAAAAGTGAAGATCATGTCCAAGTTGCTGACAAACAAACAAAAAAACGAGTCAGGAATTTTTCTTCCTTCCAACTCCAAATTTAGTAATCTGAGGTGCTATTTGCAACATTAGTAGGTGACACGATTCCAGATCAAAGTGCAACTGAAAGCCTTTCTTTTACAATTGCACAATTCCTTCTGAAGTTGACAGGAAATCATGCTGCTGTTCTGTTGGATCCTGCATTGTGGAACACACCTCCTCGAAACCTTCTCATTTTGTGTTGTCCAACCATCCAAAGGTGCTTCCTCCCTCCAAAAATGTTTCTGTTCTTCCAGTTCCTTTCTTTTTCCTCTTAAAGTCATATCCTGCCATTGATATTTTAGAAGTATGGCATCTTAACTGATATTATATTTGTTTTCTCCTTTTCTACGGCAGCTCCAGGGTTTTCAAAAATACTATTCTGTATACCACTCAATCAAATGAAACGCTTTTTAAGTATTTAGGCCTATTCTAGAATCAGAGTCGCTCTGGTTTAACTATAAATTGGGTGAAAAACTGATTTAGTTAAACCAGTGCACTGTGGATAATCTTAACCCAATTCAAATCAGGTTTATATCAATTTGTCTTAAATTGATTACATTTAAAGGTAATTAATATAAAACAGATTAAATTGTATTGAGTGTGTCTAGTTTTTCACTGGTTTAAATCACATCTTTGGTAAAACTGGTGCAAATTTTAACACACACAAGGTGTAACATTTTCGAAAGAACCTAAATGATTTAAGAGCCTAAATCTTTTTAAAAAAGAACAGGAGTACTTGTGGCACCTTAGAGACTAAATTCTTTTAAGAGGTTCTAAGAGCTCTCCTGCCAACAAACAGCAGCTACACTGTCTCGTTTAGTGGCACGGCTGTAGCGGCACAGCCGGGTCACTAAAAACTGTGTAATGTACACATAGCCATAGTTGTTCAACAGGTTTCACATTTTTAACGGCAGCTCTGACTTGAATCCTAAAGCAGTAGGAGACAGAGGTGTGAAGAATGGAAAAACTGTGTATAATCAACTTCAAAAAATTCTCAAATGTTAACCATTGCATAGTGCCTCTAGTAAAGGAAAGCAGCAATGACAGTTGCCTATTGTACTCTTTCCTGTTTTGTTAGCAAAACAAAATACAAACCAGGACTTAAAAAGTTTCCAGCTACAGCAGAAGAATTTAGATGGGTAATATATTTGAGATTTGCTTCATACAAGGTATTTGCTGGGAATTAATGAAGTTATTTCAGTGCTGGGGGGCCCTTGTCAGAAAAGAAATGCAAAAACTGCCATCCCTTCCTTCCCTCCAAATGCTAGTGATTTCAGAAGCCTCTGAACATGGTACGATATGTATCTCGCTGAAATGAGCTGAGGCAACCTGAATTTTCTTTTGTTACCTTAAATCTGACTCAAACTATTCCCTCCCTCTCCTCCTCAAAAAAATATAAGGTTGCCCACTGATATGAAGAAAGGGAACATAATCAAACACATGACCTATGGGTTATGCTGTAATAAGCTTACATTTCTCCTACACACACACACACAAAATCCATTTAACTTTGCAATCAGTGTAATCACAAGAGCCATGCTAGCGCTGATCATTATTGCATCAGAAGTTGCTTCTTCTGAGAACATGTTCTCACTTATCTTTAAGATACTGGTTAGCAAAACAGAATGTCTTTAAATACATTCAGCTACACAACAGAAGCTGTCGCCATTGCCACTATTTAGAATGTAGCTTCCAAGACGTCTCTGTGGGAATTGGTAAAATCCAGAGTTCGATATTGTGGGAGGCCTTGTGCTCCGAGAGAAAGCCTATACTAGATATTAACAAACGGTATTCCTAATAGTCAATCACTAATCATAGAACATACTGTCTGTAGAAAATGACAGCTTTTTTACTTCATATTCTCACATTCACTTCAGTTTTTAAATCCACTACTGCACAAAGAAAAAGACTGCACCAGGGGAATACAGCTAATTATTGCTTTCAATATAAACAAACCATTAACTACAAAAGCATAGAAACCAGCTCCCTAAGGACCCTATTTACTAAACTTCTATTCACCTTCTGTGCATGAGGCAACTGGATCAGAGCTATCTCAGTGTAGATTTCAGCGTTTCTTTTCTGAACAGTCAACTCTAAGTTCTTCAGTCTTAACCACATATCAAAGGAAGTGCAGACCAAAATATGGAGCCTGGTCTAAACTTAAAAGATTTTACTATGTCAGTTAGGGGTGGGATTTTTGTTTTTAAACCAACAAAGCTATGTCTGTAAAAGTCCTACTGTACATACAGTTACACCAGTATAGCTAATGTTGGTTTCCCGAACTCGCATAAAACTACACTGGTAAAGTCACTTATATACTGATACCAGTGCATGTGAGCTAGGAGCCCGCACCTCCCTCCCATTCTGCCTTTGTGCTGCTTCAAAAGGGTGCCCCCAGCATGGTGCAGTGGAAGTTTGTACCCTACCCCTCCTCTGTCCCCCTAAGTAAAAAGCACAGGATTGGGAGTCAGGATTCTAGCTCCAGTTCTACCAAACTAACTCTGAAATAGTATTGAATCAGTTAAAATTGAACCAGCGGAGGAGTTAAGACCTACTACAATCACAATTATACTGAAAGCGGTATTGAAATGTTAGCAGCAGCTATTTGAGAATCACTTTTATACAAGCATTCAAGGAGCATGAGCCTGTACTGGGACCACCAAAATTCTTCACTATATTCAGACCTTGTATGACTTTTGGACAAATCAGTGAACATCCCTGCACCTGAGCTTCAACATCTGCGGAACCAAGACAATGTCACGTAATCACCATGCTGTTACCAGTTAAAGACTAATGCAGCAGCTCAATCTTCATTCCAGCAATCCATGAACCATGCATCCTCTTCTCTTAAATACTCCAGGACAAATACCACTAAAGCAAATGTGTAGGTCTATCTGCTAGATCTTGTATACATGAACTTTGTATACCTATGGTGCAGACTGAATATTAATTTTAAATCAAGACAAGCTGACATATGTGATGTTTCAGCTTTTTCTAGCAGCTGGTGTAATTCATAGATTCCAGTGCCAGAAGGGACCATTGTGATCATCCATTTTGACCTCCTGTATAACACAGGCCATAGACCTTCCCCGAAATGATAGCTAGAGCATTTCTTTTAGAAAAAGATCCAATCTTGATTTTAAAAATTGTCAGTGAGAATCCACCACAACCCACGTTTTCTAATCCTTTAATCATTCTCATGGCTCTTCTCTGAACCCTCTCCAATAACTCAACATCTTTCTTGAATTGTGGATACCAGAACTGGATACAATATTCTAGCAGCAGTCGCACCAGTGCCTAATAACAAGGTAAAATAACCTCTCTACTCCTACTCGAGGTTCCCAGTTTTTGCATTAGCCCTTTGTCCACAGCATCACACTCAGAGCAATGAAGAACACCCAACAAACAAAATTATCAATGGAATACCGTAAAATAAAGAAAACATTCTTTTTGAGCACACTAATGTCTTCAAGAACAAGTCAAATAACAGAAGCAAAAATAGAGTAAATAATTCTCTTGTGCATTCATATCATTGCTTCTAGAAAAAGACTAAAAGAAGAAAAAATCCATCTGCACCCTGAATTTCATCAAGAATTCACATCAGTGTTTATTTATGCATCAACACACAAGACTGTTTTACAATGTTAAAATCATACGCAGTAAGGTAATATATATATATATATATATATATATAGTGTTACTTTTTCCATCTCGTTCCAAGCAGAATAATTCAAAGTAACTTGTCTTTTACTGTAAGTATTAAGATTATTTAACTATTTAAAAATCTGGGAAAAAGTTATCTGATGTTTTAACATTATAAATGGGTCAAAAGATTTCTTTTAAAACAAACAGCAAATGGCAAGTATTCAGCAAATATAAAAAACAACCTTTCCTTGAACTGAAATTAAAAGACTACAGTGTTTGGGAAAATAATAAAATGAACAAAACATTTGATTTTGGAGAACAGCTGTTATAAAAACAAACTAACTTTAAAAATAAGGGTTTTAAGATGTGCATTTTCCAAGACAATCACAAAGGAACTATTTAACTATCAATTCTGTTATAAGGCTATAAAGTATTATTTTCAGGCTACTAGAAAAGTGAAATCTTTGAGTTTTGCAGATGCAGCTTCAATTTGTATGTGCATCTGTTGAAATTTTTGTGTGAAGAAGCATTTGCAGCTGGCATAGCGTGTCTGTATATTTATGCGTACACCCCAACTATGGCCACATTTACTCCTATGTGTTTTTAAAGAAAAACAAGATTTAAAGCTTAAACTTACCCGGTGACAAACTTCTGTTTTAATTTCTTTAAGAGCACGTTCAGAGAACACACAGCCACAATTCCGCAAAAAACAAAACCTTGGGGAAAAAATAAAACCAGAGTAATTTGATTCTAACGTTTTAGAAAATTTAGTTTACCAGTAACAGACATTTTATTTTATACATGTGTAGTAAATAAATTAAATCAACACTTCAGATTGCAGCAAGTAATTTACCTGTTAGCTTTTTGTACACCTCTCTGTGGCTAATCAAAAGAAACACAAGTATGACATAGCTAATTTGCATTAATGATATTGAGACTCATTATAATTACTAACTGAACAAACAATAAAAACCAAGCATTCTGAATTATGCTATGTACTTTGTTAATTTATTCTGACTAGTCTAATTTGGTTTATTTTTATACTATTTCAGTGAATACTAAAAAGTTTACTACAATCTCTCAAAAATTTATGAATTCTTACAAGGCCTAGTATACTTTGCTGCCGATCCATGTCGGTTCCCCAGATCCTCTGAAGTATCTAAGCACAAATCAAACTCTGGTATTTGTATGATGAGCACTTTGATGAGTGATGGACACTCTCCACCATGACTTTTCCTGTTGTGGCTGCTGCAAAGATCATATTCCTAGCCCATCACTTTCCCAACCTGTGTCGCCCCTTCCTTTGCACATCTCCACTGGCTCCACTTTCTCTATCACATCAAACATAAGCTGCTTGTATTCGCTTTAAAGGCCCCTCACACAGTCTATCCCCATTTTATTGTCTCTCATTCGCTAATGAGCCATCAATTGGCCCATCAGCCTCCTTCGCCTACTTGTTAAATTTTCAAACAAATTTCTTCATATATTTTTCATAGACTTCCCCTCACACTTGTGAGGTGCCCCCTGTAAACATGCACTAAGCTATCTCATTATCCATCTTCAAAACCTCTCTCAAGCATTTAGGAAAAATGTGGACAAACTGGAAAGAGTCCACAGGAGAGCAACAAAAATGATAAAAGGTTTAGAAAAACCTGACTTGTGAGAAAAGGTTAAAAAAAACCTGGGCACGTTTAGTCTTGCATGAAGACAACTGAGGGGAGAGCTGATAGTCTTCCAATATTTTAAGGACTGTATATAGAAAGAATTGTAATTAATAGTCCTCTATGAAACTGTGACAAGAAATAACAGGCTTAATCTGCAGCAAGGGAGCTTTAGGTTAGACATTAAGAAAAACTTTCTAAGTATAAGGGTAGTTAAAGCTCTAGAACAGGCTTCCAAGGGAGGTCATGGAGTCCGCATCACTGGAAGCTTTTAAAAACAACTGGACAAACACCTGTCAGGGATGGTCTAGGTTTACTTGGTCCTGCCACAGTGCAGGGGGCTGGACTTGATGACTTCTCAAAGTCCCTTCCAGCCCTACATTTCTATGATTCTAAGATTCAATATGTCTGTGTGACACGGTGCTAAGCAGAAAACTGCTTAGCCTACCTTCTGTCACTCCAGCTCCAATTAAGGGAAGTGAATTGAAGCTGGGTAGACCATCTGGCCCTGACTGGGGAAGTTTGAACAGCTGCTGCCTCATCAGGCTGGGGCTGGATAAAAGCCTCAGGGGAAGGAAGCAGGGAGGGGGAAGCTGGAAAGAGAAAAGCAGAGCAGAGCGAATCGAGATAACTCCCCCCCACCCCTTCCCCGCTGGTGGACTGCAAGAAGGGGACTACTTGTATGGTGGAAAGGTGGTGGGAGCACAGTCTGTAAATAAAAGCACCAGGTGGGCACTGCACCTAAAGGTCTCTATATGACTTTCTCAGCCCAGCGGGGGGCAGGAGCCAGGAGGGCCCTGCAGGGACTCTGCTACATATGGGGGCTCATCCGGGATTATGCCAAAGCAAGAATTTGGCAGCATGAGATGGAAGAGACCTCGCAGTGGCTGATCAAGCAGCAGGAAGGGCTGCAGAAGGCAGTACAAACTTTTCAGCAGCTGGAGAAGCAGGCCCTGCTCAGCTGGCAAGCTGAGCAGCAGAGGAGCCTGCAAGATTTTATTCAGGAGCAGATGACCATTCAACGCAGCTCCTTCAGAAGGTGGGAAGTCCCCCAATGGGGGATGGCATGCGGGCACCAGGCTTGGGACTATGTAAAATGGGCCTGGCAGATGACCCTGATGCCTTTCTGGGCACTTTTGAGTGGGTATCTATGGGGGAAGGATGGGACAGGACAACCTGGGCCCTGCAGGTGGCTCTCTACCTGGCTAGCAAAGCCCAGGTGGCCTATATGGCCCTGAGTGAAGAACAGGCCAGGAGCTACGACATGGTCAAAGCGGCTGTCCTAGATTGGGTAGGGCTGTTTGCCGAAAAATATCGCCAGCACTTCCGGGCAGCAAAGTGGACAGGGGGTTTGAGGACCTGGGCCTTTGCCCAGAAATTAATGGACTGGGCCACCTGATGGTTGAGAGCTGGTGCCCAGACTGTAGAGGAGATCATGGATGCGCTCATCCTGGAACAGTTTTTACAAGGCCTACCAAAGAGAACAAGGGTATGGGTGAGATGGCACCAACCAGGCCCGGTGGAGGCTGCGGTAAAGCTGACAGAGGAGTATGTGGAGGCAGACTCCCCCAGGAAGGAGCGGCACCCCTATAAGGACAAGGACCCTGGGAGAAAAATCCAGGAAAACCCTGACTGGGAAGGGTCTGGGGAAAAAACGTGGGGAGCTCCCACGGGGACCAGGCAACTCATCTGTTGGCAGTGAGGGCAAGTGGGACATAAAAAGCAGGACTGCCCAGATATGGACTGTGGCTTTGAGGAATTTTGCAGGTGGACCAACTCTGGGGGGCAGGGGAAGGGGCAGAAACTGTCCATCATTTCTGTGAGGGTGGGGAGGAGACCCCAGCAGGGTCTGGTGGACTCAGCCTCTGCCTGCTTTCTTGTCAGGAGGGGGTTGGTGAAGCTGCAGTGGATAATCCCTGGGGCCAAAATAAATCTGGAATGTGTCCATGGGGATGAGTAGCAATGCCCAATGGCCCAGGCACCCTTCAAGATTTGGGGCCAGTTCCGTTGGAAATGGGTCGGGGTGGTAGAGGGCTTGCAGTACCGACTAGGACCCCTGCCCAATAGGGAAATGAGATTGGGCTGGGGGCCCAAGGTGAGAGAAGGGAGAGACCTGTTTAGGAAGGGGGAAGAGGTCTCGGAGATAGAAAACCCTAGACAACAGAGCCCGAGTCAGGAAGGACGGGAGAAGGGAAAGGAGAAAGAAGATAGGGAGGGAGTATCTGCCCCTGGGCTCTCAGCAGAGCCAATGGGCCCAACAGAACTTTCTGAGGCAGACCCCCAGAAGACTAGGCCCAAATCCTGCTTGAGGGGTCTGGGGAAACTGAGGTCCTGGGTGCCCAGGAGGAAGCTGGGGCCAATCCTGAATCCCTGTCAGAGGTGAATGGGTGAAAGAAAGAGGGGCACACTCAGGGGTGTGACTGGTGTGATGACCTCTGGGCGGAAGCAGAGCTAGGGGGTGGCCCACCCTCCAAGCAATGTGGTTTCTGCAGGTTGGGGATGGCTGAACCCTGCAAGGAAGCTCCAGCTGGTCACCCAAAAAAGGAAGGACTCCCCAGTAGGACCCCACCCGTTAGAGGAAGGAGGGGACCTGTACGGTTGAACCACGTGATTTGGAAAAAGGGGGGAGGCGTGTGACAGGGTGCTAAGCAGAAAACTGCTGAGCCAACCCTCTGTCACTCCAGTGCCAATTAAGGGAGGTGAATTGGAGCTGGGTGGACCACCTGGCCCTGATTGGGGACGCCTGAACAGCTGCTGCCTCATCAGGCTGGGGCTGGATAAGAGCCCCAGGGGAAGGAGGCGGGGGGAGCTGGAAAGAGGAAAGCTGCAGTAGAGGAAAGACAGTGAGGGGAAGCAGAGAGAGATAGCTTGCCCCCTCTCTCCTGCTGGGGGACTGCAATAAGGGGACTACTTGTATGATGGAAAGGTGCAGAAAGCACAGCCTGTAAATAAAAGCACTGCATCTAAAGGTCTCTGTGTGACTTTCTCAGCCTGGCAGGAGCCAGGAGGTCCCTGCAGAGACTCTGCTACAGTCTGTGAGGGAGGATTTAGATATACTTAATCCTGCCTCAGCACAGGGGGCTGCATTCGATCACCTCTTGAGGTCCTTTCCAGCCCTGCATTTCTATGATGCTTACAACAAAAAGTTGACAATCGTTAAGCTGCGGAGACCACTGTCTACCATGCTGACCAATATTGTCTGTTTCCTTGAACTCCCCAATCTGTACCCCTTTATTGTCTCTTGACTTATAGATTGCAAGATCCTTAGGGCAGGGATTGTCTTTTTTTGTTGTTGTTCTTATGTGACTGTACCGCTCCTACCACAATGAGGCCCTGGTCCATTAGTAAGGCTCATAGGCACTACAATAACTCCAATAGTAAATAAATAATAATGTTGGGGCTATTCACAGTAATTCACAAAACATTTGATTTGAAAATCAATTTGAGAAGTGGATTAAACATAACGGTCATTTTTTAAAATATGAACCTAAGTAAAATACAGAGTCTTGGTGAGGTTAGCTAAATTTATGATTCCTAACATAATTCAGTTTTCCAATGTTTGATATAAAATTTTAAGTTAAGACAAACATAATTCTTACCTTTATACAGTCCAAAATAACCATGTTACTGTGCATAAATACATAACAAATTTTCTGCTAATTACTAAATGAGCAGTATTGCCAATGGGAGCTATATTCTTAACATTGTCTTTGTGGCATGAGTGTTGTTATACTTTAACTTTAGGAGATACGCAGAAAGGAAAAGAGAAAAGAAGTGTGTGACGGATCTGTTAATGGTTTTAAGTATGGTTTTATATGCTTTAGGAAAGAATTTCCTTTCCAACAACCCAAGGTGGCACATGCATAAATAAATACCAAAGCTTCAAAGTACCATTAAATAAGAGTCACCCCCTTCCCCCATCCTGAAACACTTGCTGACATTAAAAGGAAAATAACAAAGCCTTCATGAACAGATACATGAGCCAGTAGGCATTCACCTGTCTGACTGTTACTGAATACAGTACAATTTAAAATGGATTATTGGAATGAATAAGCATTAAAGAGGAGAACTTTTCTTGCCTGGGGTATTGATTTTGAGAGGCAGAATATTAGGTCATCATCATCATAAAGAAAATGGGTGAGGATATTTTGAACATAATTTGGTAGACTTCCACTCTAATTTCACAGATCCACCACTATTCCATTCCTCCAAAATAATGTGTTGCAACAGGAGGACTCCCTGGGGCTCACCCCGCAACACTGAAGTTAATAGAAGTTTGGCAGTGGGAGAGGGATTAGAGCCCCCTAATGAAGCTATGACAATTTACAGCTGCTCAGGATCTGTCCTCCCACTATTTTAACAGTTTCTAAAATATTAATTTGCACAGTTCTAAGTAAAGTCCCGTTAAAGTTACATGCACGATACTAACCGATGCCTTCCATTCATTTCCAAGCCCACCACAGGGCAAATAAAGCGTGCACACTGGATGTCGTCATATTTATCACCTTTTGTGTTCCCTTTATCACCTTTCCAAGCTGGATTATCTGCAAGGTTCAGCTCTGTTACATTCTGAAAGAGACAAATGTAAGTTTTTAAGTTGTGTTCTAATGATGCTTGAGACATGTTGAAGTGGTGATGTGCCTGAAGATACATTTTCCTTTATGGCTTATTATATGAAGAAATGATGAAATTCAACAAAGACAAGTGTAAAGTTCTACAGTGAGAAAGGAAAAATCAAATGCACAACTACAAAATGGAGACTAATTGGCAAGTGCATAGTACTGCTGAAAAGAATCTGGGGGTTATAGTGGAGCACAAACTGAATGAGTCAACAATGTGATGCAGTTGCATAAAAGGCTAATATTCCAAGGTATTTTAACAGGTGTGTCATCTGCAAGACACAGGAGGTAACTCTCCCACTCTACTAAGCACTGGTGAGGCCTCAACTGAAACACTGTGTCCAATTCTAGGCACCACACTTTAGGAAAGATACGGACAAACTGAAGAGAGTCCAGAAGAGAGCAACAAAAATGAAAAGGTTAAGAAAATCTGATATGAGGAAAGGTTAAAAAAAACTGGGTATGTTTAGTCTTGAGAAAAGATAACTGAGGGGGATAACAGTTTTTCAATATGTTATGGCTGTATATAAAGAGAACTGTGATCAGTAGTTCTCCATGCCCACTGAAGGTGGGGCAAGAAATAATGGGCTTAATCTGTAGCAAGGGAGATTTAGATTAGATATTAGGAAAATCTTTCTAACTATAAAGGTAGTTAAATCCTGGAACAGGCTTCCCAGGTAGGTTGTGGAATACCAATCACTGGAAATTAAGAACAGGTTGGAGAAACACCTGTCAGGGATGGTCCAGGTTCACCTGGTTTTGCCTCAGCACAGGGCCCTGGACTTGATGGATTCACAAGGTCCATTGCAGCCCTTCATTTCTATGATTCTATTTTATATTAGAGCTTGCCATTATAAATGTTATTGGAATGACATTTTAGGGTCACAGACACTGTACCAAGTTTTTATAAGTTCAGCCATACAGCAGCTCTGAAATTTTACAGCTGCAAAACTTTTGAGATACATCTGGCAGGGGAGACTCAGAATTCTATTCCTGACTGGCAGTGTTCTAACTGATAATTCTGTAGTACAGTATAAAGATTTAAAAATAAACTATTTACAAATTGGACATATTGGCTCAATATCAACTAGCCTCTTTCCCAGTTTAGCCTCACTGTGCCTCTCTTTACTCCACTGTTTAAAAGGTGATAATAATACCTATGTTACAGGAGTAGTATGGGATTGGTTATTTAATAGTGACATGCAAGATATCATGAACAAGGCTATGTTTTAGTCACGGGTATTTTTAGTAAAAGTCACGCGCAGTAAACAAAAATTCACGGCCCGAGACCTGTCCATGACTTTTACTAAAAATACCCATGACTGCAACTTGGGGGTCTGCCTGGGGGAGGATGGCCCAGATGGTGCGCGGGGGGGGGGGGGGGGCGCGGCAGCAGGCAGCCCAGGATCCCTGCTGGGGGGTGGGGGAATTTTGGCAGGGCCGGCAGGCTCCCTACCTGGCTCTGCGTCTCTCCCCCCAGCAGCAGCAGAGTTTGGGTGTGGGAGGGAGAAGGGTGTTGGGGCATGGGATGGGGTGAGGCGGGCTCTGGGTGGTGCTTACCTGGGGGGCTCCCCTGAAGCAGTGACATCACCCTCACTCAGCTGCTAGGCAGAGGCATAGCCAGGCAGCTCTGTGACAATCTCACAGCCTTAATCATGAGCTATTCACAAAGCAAAGGGTGACCCAAATGCAGCTCTAAATTCTATGAGGGCAACTCATGTTTAATGCAGAAATGCAGCTTGTGAAGACAACACAGTACAGCATGCAATACTCCTCTTCAGGGCAGGAAGAATGCCCGTTTGAATCAAGATGGAGTTTGGCAAACTGGGTGTGGTAGTTTCCACAGGTTGCACCCTCATAGTATAGAAGAAAGTGACTGAAATCTGCTCCATTTTATACAGACTGGGTATAGACTTTGGCAATTTGAGAATGTGGCCATTAGTTAAAAGTATGAGTACCCGTACCTCTGCCATACAATATATCATAAAGAGCGATACCCTGCAATATAGCAACAGCGTCTCTGATATTGTAAGCAAACACAACTGCTACCAAAGTATCAAACTGCCTGGAAATGAGATGCTAAATTTACATGCTATAAGAATTTACAAAATTATTTGCTAAACTTTCCATTTTGAACTGGAAAAAGTGCCAGAACAGTACTTGAAAAAATAAGATATTAATTGGCTGCCTTTTAGAATCAGATTTAAATTTTGGCATCCACTTACCTTAATGCTCCTGATATAGGATGCAGCCTGCACAAGGGATTTATCAGATGACTTGTCCAGTAAAAATTCAATGATAGCATCTTTGTTATACAGCCTACAACATAAAATTTGCAGTCAAAATTCTGTGACTTTCATAAACTACATTTATTAAAAAATTAGTATTTTTATCAAGAAAGCTAAAGAAAAACAGTCATACCTTCCCAGCTCACAGGCTACAATTGGTCTCCTTAATTCTTCTTGACTCAGTGTGCAGTAGTACCACTGTGCCACTAATTCTGCATTTTTGTCAACCTGAAGGAAGAAAAAACATTGGTTTATCATTCATTTCAGATGGATTTTTCCCACTGGCAGGTTTATCGTTCAAACCTTTACATTTGAAACCAGCACCCACACCCTATAAAATGACAAGCAACCACCCTCCTGGCTCAAATTCACCTGATAAAATGCTTTTTCAAAACCTTTCAGTGAAGATTCTGCATATTTGCTAGGTTAGTGTTAGGCAAAACACTCGTTTCCCCTATATCTGACTTGGAGCCCAAACCTGCTAACCGTTACTCATGCAAGTAGCCCCACTGATTTCAATAGGACTCCTGACAAATGTGTAACTGCATGTGTTACCACTGCAGGACCAAAACATTAGATTATAAATGCAACCACGAAGATGTGGGGGAGGGACAGCAGGGGCAGTGTCTTCTAGTGCTGTGGTTTTTCAACCTCTAGTCTGCGGACCACTGGGAGTCTGAAGACTGTGTCTAAGGGGTCTGCGAAAAGTCGTCATTATCACAGAACAGCAGTTTTTAACCTTGGATGCACAGACTCTCTAAGACTTCCAAAGGGGTCCGTGCCTCCATTTGAAATTTTTTAGGGGGTCTACAAATAAAAAAAAAGTTGAAAACCACTGTTCTAGTGGTTCCCATCCTTTCTGTTGGAGCCCCTTCCTTGGGGTGGATTGACAAAGTAAATAGCAGGTGAGTTCCATGCTGTGCAATAAGTAGCACTCTCTGCCCGTTTTAATGGCATGAAGTTTAGCTTCATTCCCATAACAAGCCGTCACAAAAGAATGCCGTGTTCGCTTAGTGTGAGATAAAGAACCACCTCCACCTGGAAAAACACGCTGCAGCCTCACACTGCCCCCCCCCGGTGTCTGCAGAGGAAGAGAGAATCCAGAGGCGTTTGCAGTCGCCAGCTCCGAGACTCTGGGGCTATTTCCCTAAGAGTCACTAACAGGATTACAGCGGAGATCTCCAGCTGTTTTATCATAGAAATCATAGAATATCAGGGTTGGAAGGGACCTCAGGAGGTCATCTAGTCCAACCCCCTGCTCAAAGCAGGGCCAATCCCCAACTAAATCATTCCAGCCAGGGCTTTCTCAAGCCTGACCTTAAAAACCTCTAAGGAAGAAGATTCCACCACCTCCCTTAGGTAACACATTCCAGTACTTCACCTCCCTCCTAGCGAAAAAGTTTTTCCTAATATCCAACCTAAACCTCTCCCACTGCAACTTGAGACCATTACTCCTTGTTCTGTCATCTTCTACCACTGAGAGCAGCCTAGATCATTCCTCTTTGGAACCCCCTTTCAGGTAGTTGAAAACAGCGATCAAATCCCCCCTTAATCTTCTCTGCAGACTAAATAATCGCAGTTCTCTCAGCCTCTCCTCAGAAGTCATGTGCTCCAGGCCCCAATCATTTTCGTTGCCCTCCGCTGGACGTTTTCCAATTTTTCCACATCCTTCTTGTAGTGTGGGGCGCAAAACCGGACATAGTACTCCAGATGAGGCATCACCAAAGCCGAATAGAGGGGAACGATCACGTCCCCTCGATCTGCTGGCAATGCTCCTGCTTATACAGCCCAAAATGCCGTTAGCCTTCTTGGCAACAAGGGCACACTGTTGACTCATATCCAGCTTCTCGTCCACTGTAACCCCTCGGTCCCTTTCTCCAGAACTGCTGCCTAGCCATTCGGTCCCTAGTCTGTAGCGGTGCATGGGATTCTTCCATCCTAAGTGAAGGACTCTGCGCTTGTCCTTGTTGAACCTCATCAGATTTCTTTTGGCCCAATCCTCTAATTTGTCTTGGTCCCTCTGTAGCCTATCCCTACCATCCAGCGTATCTACCACTCCTCCCAGTTTAGTGTCATCTGCAAACTTGCTGAGGGTGCAATCCACGCCATCCTCCAGATCATTAATGAAGACATTGAACAAAACCAGCCCCAGGACCAACCCTTGGGGCACTCCGCTTGATACCAGCTGCCAACTAGACATGGAGCCACTGATCACTACCCATTGAGCCAGACGATCTAGCCAGCTTTCTATCCACCTTATAGTCCATTCATCCAGCCCATATTTCTTTAACTTGCTGGCAAGAATACTGTGGGAGACCACGTCAAAAACTTTGCTAAAGTCAAGGAACAACACGTCCACCGCTTTCCCCTCATCCACAGAGCCAGTTATCTCGTCATAGAAGGCAATTAGATTAGTCAGGCATGACTTGCCCTTGGTGAATCCATGCTGACTGTTCCTGATCACTTTCTTCTCCTCTAAGTGCTTCAGAATTGACTCCTTGAGGACCTTCTTCATGAGTTTTCCAGGGATTGTGGTGAGGCTGACTGGCCTGTAGTTCCCTGGATGATCCTCCTTCCCTTTTTTAACTCTGATCCTGACCCTAACTGTTTTACTGGGGGAATCCCCTGGCTTCCTGTTCAAACCTCGACTGCAGCTCCAGCTCCCCCTCAGTGACCAGGTTTTCCACACTCCGGGGGGGGGGTCCAATCCTGCCCGTGCCCCGCGGACCGAGCCAGCCGCCCCCAGCCATGGCTCCCTGGAGCACACTCCTACCTTCTCGACCTTCCGAGGCCCTTTCACTAATTCGTGTCTCTTGGGGATGGTCCCCCCGTCGCAACCCATCGTTCCCCTCCAAGCTGCACTTCCGCGTCGACCCCTCTCCAACAACAAACGTACTTCCGGCAGGATGAAGAGTGCTTCCGGCGCACGAGGATGACGCACTAGGGAATCGGGTTGCTAAGGTCCCCTAGCAACCAGTCACGCGAGGGGCGGGGGAAGGGGAGGAGGTTAAGGCTCCGGTGTTGAGCTCTGTGTCCGCTCCTGTATGGGTTCAGTGGCTGGTGGGAGCGCCCGTCCTGCTCCCACACCAGGGCCCTGGGAAACACGCACCGTACCACAGAGCCCAGCAGGGCCCCCACATGTCACCCCAGACCTGCACGCAAAGGCACCGGGGGTTGGGCCCTGGCACGTGGGAATGGCACTGACATGCAGCCACATGGGGTGCGCTGACACGTGGGGATGAGTACTAACATACGGGTACAAGGGGATGGGCACTAGGGTTGCCAAGCCTTCAGGATTGTCCTGGAGTCTCCAGGAATTAAAGATTAATCTTATGTCATGTGATGAAGCCTCCAGGAATACATCCAACCAAAATTGGCCACCCTAGTGGGCACTGAGATATGGGGGTGAGCACTGAGATATTGATGCACGGAGATGGGCCCTGGGCCACGGGGATGGGCTCACTAGGATGGCACAAACATAGGGGGATGGGCACTGGCATGAAGGCACACAGGGACAACATGGGTGCCTTAGGGTTGCCACTTGCCCAAGTCTTCCCAGGATCATCCCTTTTTTGAGGTAGCTGGCCTGGAAATCTGTAAGGCTCCTCAGTATACACTGCCAGCTGTCCAGTTTTTATGGGGGTCAGGATTGTGCCGGATGTTGTGGGTTTTTGCACCTCAGAGGTGGCAACCCTCGGGCGTATGGGGATGGACATTGGCATAGAGGCACACAAGGACAGCACGGGCACATAGGCGTTGGGGACACTGGGCATGGCCACTAGGTAACTCGAGGGGATGGAAGACCACAAGTCTCGATGAAGCCTCCTCGCACTAGGCCCAAGTGTCCTTGGCGCCACCCCCCCCCCCCAAGGCACTCGCAGCAGTTATGCTGAGGATCTGCGACAATATGTTGCAAAGTCAGACTGTCTGAAACTAAACAAGGCCAAACAGGGCAGATATGGCAGAACAATGCTGAACAAAGCAGCTTTATATCTATAGTTTAATAGATGGTACAGAGAACAAGGGAACTAGCTGGTAACTGGAGTGGCTGGCTATATGGATACTTAGGGCAGCTTCCTATTGGATAAGTATGCTGAAGAAAGGATGTATAAAAGCCTGTGTAACTTCCTGCTCTGGGTGCAGGATTTGAGATTGTATTCTCCCTGTACCTTCTTTGAAGCTTCAAATACATTTTTCTGCTTCTCCACCCCGTTGTGATTATTGGGTGATGCATACCGGGCAACGAACCCCTGCTGTTGCTTGCCTCTGGCACTGGGTGCCGGCAACATAGGGATGGGCACTTACATCTTGGCAAACTGAGAGGCACAGGTATAAGGGCCAGACACTAGCATGTAGGCACACAGGGACAGCACAGGCACAAAACACAGAGGACTGGGCACTGGCATGTAGGCACACATAGGCACATGGGGATGGACATTGGCATATTTGCACACACGGATAACACACAAAGACAGGTCCTGGCACACAGGGACAAACACCTAGGCCTGGGGACATGAGAACAAGTAAACAGAATGGAGTCATGCACTGGCAGGCATGAATGAAAGATGTATGTAAATAAAATGAGCCCTTTTCTGAACTTTTTCAGATTTCATTGGCCAGCATCTGAGAACAGACTGCCTTTAGGGTCTCTCTTTTGTTGACCTTTGACCTTGATTTATGTGAGTGTGAATGCAAAGCAGCAATAGTGATGTCTCTCTCTCCCTGTCTGCCTCTCTCACACATACACTTCTCATGCAGTTCTTTTTACCTCCTCAATCTCCTTCACCTTCACAAAACAAAAAGGTCAAATTTTGCTGCCCTTACTCTGGCAAAATTCCCATTGACTTCAATGGGAATTTTTCCAGTGTTAAGATTGCAGAATTGTGGTCCATTGTAAGCCCTCATGTATCCATCCAGTAAATTTCTAGATCCATTCAGACCATGTCCTTAGTGCTGAGACTCTAAAAGGATGACAGTCATCATGTGGACACCCTCTCACTGAGAACTAGATTAAGACTAGGTTTCACATAGGCCACTGAAAGAGGCAGCAGAAAGGTTAAATTTAAACAAACAGCCTAGAAGTAAAAAGTACTATATCCTTCTACCAAATCCTGGGCCAGTCTCTTTAATAAACCATTTTCATTATATTAAGACCCTTGTGTTTTTTAGTTATTTACTCTTCTTGTACTTGAATGTGATGCTTGCAATACTGTTTATAGTGCAATGAAATTTTCCTTTAAAACCCCATCAATGATTACTGTTGGATGTTGTGCAGTAAAATTACTTGCCCATTTTATATTTGAAAATCCCCACCTTAACATGTATCCTTTTCTACTCTTTCTTCGTTGATAAGAATAACAAATAGTAACAGTTATGTTGGTGTTCAGTTTCTTTCCAGAGAAAATACTACTGAAACTTCCACATCAAAGGGCCTACTTCTGCCCTGGATTTATACATGTACTATATTAGACTTCTTTGTGGTTGTTTGTTAGGCGCTCTTCACTAAGCTATAGCTCAGAGTTACAAAACCTACTTAATTGATACCATCATGTAAACTGATTCAAAGCAGGCTTTGTTTGTTTGTTTTTATTTTTTGTTTTGGTAAGAAGGTTCTAAAATTAAAATGCTTTCAGAAAACACAGTTAGGAAAATATGGGGAAATGAACAAACAACTGGTTCAGATATTAGTCTGAACTGAGAGGATTAATGATAGCCTCATCGCTACTTGTTCCTGTTCTCGCTCCCTTTTTTTGCATCAAATAACTGGAAAGAGATTCTAAACCAAATACCCCATCTCCTGCTTGGCCCAATTAAGTCTGTAAGAGAGTTGTTAAGGACATAGGCACAACATCATTTTTGCAATGGTATATTGATAAATTAAAACTATTTTTATCAATATGTTATTTATTAATGTTTTGTGAACAACAAAAATTGTAAAACTCATTTAAAAGGGAAAACAGAAGAACAAAATTAAACATCAGAAATGCAGAGAACAAATTTCTGCAGATATCAGGCCAGGCCAAAATATGTACAGTGTGCTCAAAATAAAGAACGGCTTAAATATTTTTTCTTTGCACTTCCATTGGAAATCTGTCTGAATGCAGCTGTTTCAGCAATGCATTCTGTTGCATGTTGGAACATTACACTGAGACTTAGCCAAATTTTCTTTACAGGCACAAATTGCACCCGAATTTTTGCATCCACAAATGAATTGCGACTACAAATGATGGCAAAACTAACTGCCTGCTTATCAGAAGCAAATTATACAGATACAAGTTGTACCTACAAAAGGAAAACAAGACTTGAAAATTTAAGCCATATTTGAAAAAAAATAAATTAATTGGTAAAAAAAATACAAAACAACACACAAAAACCTATCTAGGTGTTTATATGGCCTCCATCACTGTAATAGCTGAGCACCAGGAAGAGAGAGAAATCATACAAAAATCATTGGCTCAAATTCCTCAACTATGCAGAATTGTCCTCAAAATGAGTGCACATGTATCCTGCATTACTGTGCACCCATATTCTGGCCAGCAGCAACCCAATAAACAGATTATTCCTGTCTTGACATTCACCCTAATTTTGCATGAACAGCCTGCATGGATCTTATGTGTGTTTTGTGATCGTAAACATGCTGACCATGTTCCCTAAACTTTGAGGCCAATTCTGTAATGGTCCATTATAGCTTCTCCCATGGAAGACCTGTGAAGTAGTTGCTCCTTGGGTTTAGATGAGAGCCAGTATGGGGAGTCCAATCATTTCTCTATGGTGCTGGGTATAGGTTTTCTGTGGCCTATATACACATCATCTGCCAGAATTTGTTCCATACTGTGCTCATAACATTGTAATATGAAAGATCTGTAAATGACATTTTATTAAAAAAACTGTAGTTTAAAACAAATACGGTAAACAATCCCCTGGAAAAGAGAGAATGATGATGGCTTCACATAACAATGTATCACAATTTATATCTTGGTCTGTTATCAGGAAAACCAGTACAACACTTACATTTCCAAGTGAAAAAGAATAGAAAAATATATTTATCTGCTTTGTTTGGAAAGATAAGAAATCAGACAAATAATAAAATAAGTGTATAACCATACTCTATGGAAATTTTTGCCAAGCCACTCCAATGATTGATTGGAAGGGTTGACTCAGCATTTTCCAGATAGTGCTCTAAACTGTTGTGTGGAAAGTACAAATTCGATTCCTGGTCATAGTGGGTATCTCTACACAGCCCGTGGGAGTCAGCCTCCTAGCCTAGGGTGATAGACTCGGGGTAGCTGGCTTTCACCAGCACTCTAAAAATAGGTGTATAAACAGTGATTTGAAATTGCAGCTTGGGCTGGAGCACAATCTGTAAAGTCTAGGAGGGGTTGAGTTTCACATTCTGAGGTCCAGACCAAGCTGTCACTTCAACGTGCTGTCTATACATCTGTTTTTAGAGCACCAGAACATGTCCCACTAACCCAAATCTGTCAACCTGGACTGGGAGGATTGTTGCCGCAGCCTGTGTAGACATTCCTCAGGGCCTTAGTACACCTTTCATTGCCCAACAGTAACCTCGACAGGGTATGGCTGATTTAAGACTGGCATTTGGGTTCTTTGTGGAGTCCTGTCTTCCTCGGCTCTCAGGATACCATAGTTGAGGGGTTAAAACCCAGAAATCGGGGGAGATCCTAAAGTTTTCACCAGGATTCTCTTCTAAGAATGGAAAGGCTTCTTCATTCCATCATTGCCCTAAACTGCTGAGTGTATTTAGACAGCTCATCAGCTTGATTTTGAAGTTCCTGTATGGCACCTGTCTTTGGATACTGCACTGCTGCATTTTTGGTGGCAACAGCCAAGTTCTTCAGCAGGCTACAAAACTGGCTGCTGCTGCAGAGGATGTCATTCCGAATATCCTTTTCTTGAGTTTCCTGACAGAGAGAATCCACCAACTTTTGTCCCACCATAATGATCAGTTTGCTCTGTGCTATGAAGACTTCTGGCGGTTGATTATTGCTAAGACTACTGGTAAATACACTAATGGCCTTATGAAGGGCATCAAAATACAGTCTACAATTTTCTGAGAGAGTGATTTTCTTTGCCAAGTCCAGGTTGCTCTGAATATTATGCTTTTTTGAAGGTGGGAAAACCTAAAAAAGGGAAAAGAAAACAAGAAAGACATTCAGTTTGGTAATACAGAGATTGTTTCCTTATCCACTTTATCCTGTATTCTCCTGTAGTTTCAATTAAATAAATTATTCTTCACGTTGCTGCAGCTGATTTGCCACAGCTCCAAAATTGTCACAGCCTGGAGACCTTTCGTAATTATAAAGCACTATTTCTAGCTTTGGTAGGCCATGAAATATCAGATCTTAAAATGATATGATCCTAATTGTAATCTACCTTTTGCCCACATACTTACACTTCACTTACAACATGAATTTAGTAGTGGATGTCACAAGAACTGTTGGAGTTAAAAATCAGTGCTTTAAAAAGGCTGAACACTTGGAATTCTAGTTTTCAAATGCTATAAAGTATTTAGGCCTGATTGTACAGGGTATTGGCTTCACGGGAGTTGTGGGTAATCAGAATTCTGAAAATCAAGGGTTTCATCTCTTATTGTGGCCATTGAGATATTAGCTGGTTCAGTCATACTCAAAATAAAGTGAAAAAGGCAAGACAGTAAATAATGCTATGATTTAAAATTCCAGGCTCTCACGACATGAGGATTAGAAGCACTTCCCTAGACTAGTACAAATGTTTTCAGGACTTGTAAATCGTTCCAAGCACTGGTCCTGGACAAAAGATCAGTAAAAAAAAATCCCTTCATAAAAATTTGATTTTTCCAGTCAAATTCTAGCTTTTTAAAATGTTAGCAAGGTGTAGAAGCCATATATAACTTCAGGGACCGAAAGCCTTTACTAGCAACAATTTTCAAAATCAGAAATACCTTTGTTTTTAAATCTGCATTCTTCTTTGCCATCTCTTTAGCTGAAAGGGTTTTTTTCACCTGTTCCAACCCAGGAGACTTCTGAAAAATGAAAACACTTGAAATGATTTATATATTGTTTCAACATACTACGGGTTTTGTTTCATATAGCGGTATAAGAATTCCTTGTTTTAAAAATTACATGCAGTCAAAATGTTGCTACTGTATAGAATGACACCTGCTGTTAGAAACATAATGTGATCAGCTGTAATTTCTACTACGAAATCTAGGAGCTGACCCTGAAAGGAGTAGTAGCATCGGGCCCATTATCAGTGAACTACTTCCAGCTAATGTCAGTATATGTTACGACAGAGCCATTTGCTGTCTGATATTTGTTCTTTGTACTCTGTTCCCAGAGTAACTTCCAATATTGTTTAAGTCTAGATATTATTTCCTGGCATTTGACTGAAATACTTTCTCTCTTTCTGAGTTTTATACTGCTGCCCATAGTATCCGAGTGCCTTCCGAGTAAAAGCAAGAGCTAGAACAATGTTCCTAGTGAGCTTCTTGGACTCTCTGGCATTTTCTCCCTTTCTGGGAAAATTACTCAACTGACAAGCACCTGGAAAATTAATAAATAGGTCAGTTAATCTACAGTATGAGATTAAGTTGCTTAGACCATTTGGTTTGTGTGTTAACACCTTTTGTAAATTACCCCTAAACTGCAAAACGTTTGCTAACAAATCACAAACAGGGCAGCTGACATTTCCGGCATCTGGGCACCATAGTTGATGTGCACCGAAAACACAAAATTGTGCCATAACTATTAACGTTGAATATGCTGACACGAAACAAATAGCACCCTAAAGAAACACATTGTTTGAAGCTGGGCTGAAATTTTAGCCCTAAGCATATCTGGGTGGTGAGGTTCAAGATCTGCTCTCTATGAATGGACAAGCCCCACTTCTCTAGTCCTTCTATATTTGACTGGCTGTCATGGTTGTGGCTGCTGTGGCATTCGTAGCCATAGACCTCCCAAAAGCCTGGAGGTAGGCAATCAGGCTAGCAGGTGAAATTGAATATAAACCAAATCGAGGTTTGTGGTAAAGCAAAGTTAAAATAGAGCAAGTAAACTTACCTGCAAACAACATGAAGCAGAAAATTGGCAGCAAATCATGTTACACTGACCTGTAACTGAACATAATCACAGTCTTCAGTGACATTTTCTCTTGATTTCTCAGAAGAGACTTTATTTTTGTTTGGTTTATCCAAAGTATTTCTTTGGAGTGAATTCAGTTCTATTCTTCTGGGTATTGGGATCGGTTTTGCCATTTTACGGTCTGTATCAATTTTTGGTGACTTGGTCTCTTGTTCCTTGCAATTCTTTTTGAAGAGAAGCTTTCCATTAGCTATGATGATAGAAACAAATCTCTTGATATCATCTGGAATTGTGCGGGCTACCATAACAAACCGATCAAGATCATCTGGGTTATTCTGAGGTTTCTTAATGACCAGAACTTCCAGTGACCAGTTGCAGTTATTTAGTGCTTCCCTTGTTTCTACCAAGATCTGGAATGAGTCTGTAAGAATTTTCAGCTGTGTTGTAATTCTGGTTTGAAGGTTATTGTCAGTGACGCAAGAGGCATTCACCTTGATGGCTTGAGCAAAATCCAAGAATTCTCCCAAAGATTCTTTTATGTGATCAATTGCTCTATGGATTTCCTCAAGGTTTGTCTCCAGGTGTTCCTGGAATCTCCACTTACTGCTTACAAAAATCATCAGACTTGCAACTGAACTGGATACACTGTGCTGCAGCTTGGTCAATGTCTCTATGGCTAAGTCAAGCTCCAATTTAATTTCTTTTGCAGGTTCTTCTGATGATGACATAGAAGAGGACTCAGCAGAAGTGCTTGATGATGTAGATAGGGTGCTGGTTCTGCTGTCCACACTGGAAACTGATAATCTGTCTTGTTCTAATTTGGCATCTTTTGACAGCTGTGGAGGAATGTTGTAAGTATGGTTTCCAAAACTACTGTTGTTTTTTTCAGTCCCTTTCCTGTGCTGTAAAGCAGTAGGCAGCACTTTTGGAATATCATAAACATTTTGTTCAGAGTTCTGTTGCTCAACCCTTGGAGTCAGAAAGCTTGGTGGAACATGATAGTTACCGTTTTGCTGCAAAAGTAACATGTTACGTGAGGATGGTACATTATAACGAGGGATGTCAGGAAAGGTTAATTTTCTCTGGGTTGGTGGAACATCATACATTTGTGGATTCACTGATTTGCTTTTGATATTTGTTGGTGGAACATTTTGCAAACTAGAACCATATCTGGCTGGTGGTACGTCATACAGCACCTGCTTTTCCAGGGAACGATCGGAAGGATCTTTTTTTAAACCCATTTTTTCAGGTGATACTGGAATATCATAAGTCCATTCTGACTTCCGAGGATTTGGCAAGGTATTATAATGACCCAAAGATTTTATTTGAGACAAACTTTGTAGTGAAATGTCATGGTCTCTTGTGGTTGTGGGGGGGACATCATACACCTGGAAAGCAGTACACAAGGTTTACAAGCGGCATTTAGAAATATAAGGTCAGATCCAGAGGCATAGGTCAATGAAATCAATGGAGCTATGCCGATTTACACCAGGTGTGGCTCTGGCACCTACTTCTAATTCTGCTCCCTCTCTGAAATGCACAATCACATTGCAAATAGGAAATATCTAATATTTTGACCAAGTATATTTTTGTCACATCCACAGATGATCAAACTGTAAGGTAATGTTGATCAAGGATAGTATTAGATAGTGCAGCGAACAAGATTTCATGACCCTCTTAACTAGCAGAACTGATTCCAATCTCTTTAATTTCCAGTAGTCATACAAACATATGCACACATGCAAATTAAAAAAAAATGCACAACTGACCACACTAAAATAATTGCACTGTGTTTACATTTTCAAAGGCTTCCTGAGATGCATACTGATCTTATTCAGTGGCATACAATAGCTGCTTGTGTACATCTGACCTTTACAGCTTGAAAAATGATGACTGATTCTAGTGCAATAAGGCCAGTAGTAAGAATAATATACACTTTGGGCCAGATGGTGCTTTGCTGCTTCACAAGGGTGGTGGGGAGGGAGTTCAAGATGCAACTGGAGTGTGCAGTCGCTGGGCACAATTGCAGCGTTTGTGATTTGCCAAGGTTTCCAGGGGTGCAAGACACCCTCAAAAGTGGCAAGGAAGAGGTGGGTCCCTGACTTTCCCCCCTTCATTGGACCATGTAGCTGGCCAGATATACAAGGTGTGGGCAAGCTGCACCTCTAATGGCTCCCCTGAACAATGGGATGCTCACTGAGGCACAATCCCTCCCAGAGTTTAAGCTGGGGTGTGGCGCTTCATACTACGTCCAAAGCAGGCCAGTCCATGCATCACGACTGAGCCTACAGTTTTCACTTTTCACCCAAGGATCTCAAAATGCTTTACAAATACTGGTGAAGTCTCACCACATCCCCATGAGGTGTAGGTATTATGTATTTCAAATTGTAAGTTCTTTGGGACATGGATCTCATTATCTATTTGGCTATCCTTGTAAAGCTCCCAGCACACTTTTTGGCATGATACAATTATTATTATTAATAATATAATTCCTATTTTTAAGTGGATACACTGTGATATGCATAGATTAGGTGTCTTGCCCAAGGTTGTGCAGTGAGTCATTGGCAGAGCTGGATACAGTCATGTCGACTAGCTGTAACCGCTAGACCACACTCTCATCTTACAATACAATGCAAGTTATTAGATTCTGTTTCAAGGTTACAAACATGCAGATATTCAAGAATATAAGAATCTGACATCACTTTTACTTACCAAATAGTTTCTTGAGTCACCTTTTTTGGTGACAATGTCACTTTAAATACAGTAAGCAAACAAATACAATGATAGTTCCATCTTCAGCAGGTATCCAGTATAACTAGTCTCATTTCTTACTTTAAACTTACTTAATATTAAAAGTAAGAAATCCACCAAATGTGATCTAGTTTAAATTACTATAAAATGGATGCACAACTGGCTGAAAAAACACACTAAAAGAATAGTTATCAATGGATCAATGGTTCACTGTAAAACAGGAAGGACATATCTATTGGGGTTCTGTGGGAGTCTGTTTTGGGTCAAGTACTATTCAACATTTTAATTAATGACTTGGATAATGGAGGTTTCAGAGTAGCAGCCGTGTTAGTCTGTATCCGCAAAAAGACAAGGAGGACTTGTGGCAATTTAGAAACTAACAAATTTATTTGAGCATAAGCTTTCGTGAGCTACAGCTCAGTGGAGAATACACTTATAAATTTCCAGATTACATCAAGACAGGAGGTGTTGCAAGTACTTTGGAGGACAGGTTTAGAATTCAAAATGATCTTGACAAATCAGAGAATTGATCTGAAATCTATAAGATTAAATTCAATACAAGAAAATGCAAAGTGCACTTAAGAAAAAAAAGCACAAATACAAAAATGGGAAATACAAAAACGGCTAGGTAATACTACTGTAGAGGAGGCTTTGGGGAGAGGGTTATAGTGGATCACAAATTGAATGTGAGTCAGCAATGTAATGGAGGTGCAAAAAAGGCTAATACTCTAGGGTGTATTAAAGGAGCATTGTATGTAAGACTTGGGAGGTAACTGTCATGCTCTACTCTACTGGAGTACTGTGTCCAGTTTGGGGCACCACCCATTAAGAAAGATGTGGACAAAATGGAGAAAGTCCAGAGGAGAGAAACAAAAATGATAAAACGTTTAGAAAACCTGATCTACGGAAAAGTTTAAAAAATGGGTATGTTTAGACTTGAGGAGAAGAAGACCAAGGGGGGATATGTTAAGGGCTGTTATAAAGAGGACCGTGATCAACTGTTCTCCATGTCCTCCAAAGGTAGGAAAAGAAATAATGGGCTTACTCTGTAGCAAGGGAGATTTAGGTTAGATATTAGGAAAAACTTTTCAACTATAAGGACAGTTAAGTTCTGGGTTAGGTTACCAAGGGAGTTTCTGGAATCCCCATCACTGGAGTTTTTTAAGAACAGGTTAGACAAACACCTGTCAGGGATCATCTTGGACAGGTGCACTTGACCCTGTCTCAGCACAGGGGGAGGGACTAGATACCCCTCAAGGTCCCTTCCAGTCCTACATTTCTATGGTTCTATGATATTAAAGAAATGTAACATTGACGTAGTGCTGTTTTTATGTTTATTCTTCTTGGCAGATTGATGGCACTTAACTATTGTGCTGGTGCTCCACCTCACATCAGAGGCATATACAGCATATTAGTATAACCATACACCCTTTCATGTGTTCTGCTGTATGAGTGTGACAGTATTAATGAAAGATTATTCTCTGCAATTCAGTGAGTAACACTTACACTGCCCACTGGAGAGTCTTGCTGGACATGGATTTTTGCCTTTTCTGGGCTGGATGGGATGTCATAAAGCTGTTGCTGCTCTTCCTGGATATATTCTTTGAAGAGGATCGGCATAGAGCCCTTTCTGGCTGTGGGTGGAGTGGCACACCTCTAATAAAATACAAAAGTAAGGTTGACTTAAATACTGTTTATCACTGCACCAATTTGAAGACTTAGGGTCATAACTGCCTTAAGTTCATGCAAGTATTCTGTGTGTGTACTCAGAGCAGGATCCAGTTCTTAGAATCTACAGAACTGTTGAATAATATCATAATGCTGTAGGGGGGGAGATGGGCACTAGGTGGCGCAGTAGGATGTTACAGTTAATTCTTGAGGATTTGGATCCAGATATATTATTTTTAAAAATGTATCAAATTTAAAAGAGAATCAGATTCTTATTGGGTTTTTTTAACTTTCATATAGAATTCTCTACCAATCTTTATAGCAGAGTTCAAACAATAAATGAATAAAAAAGTTATAATTTATTTTTAAATTTTATAACACCGTTGCATATGATAAGGAACTCAGAAGTCCTGAATTCCAGTCCTACTTGATGGACATATTCAGTGACATGACAGGACTCACCTGAGTGAATAGGGCTATTCGGTGTTGTGGTGATGGAACATCATAAACCTCACTTTTTATACATGGTATGGAGGCCCGAGATGGTGTGGGAAGAGTAAACTGGTGCTTGAGGGGGAAAAAAGAAGAAGAACGTAATGAGAAAGTTGAAGTGATCTTAGGGCATCTTTGAGAATGTGATGAGTCTCATGGCCATTGCTGGAAGAATTCCTTTTGGGGTGTTAATTAAAAAGCTTCTGTCAAATATTCACTGGCCCTAAACTTGAAAACTGCTCACTGTCTGCCTATTAAACAGACAGGGTTTATTTTTCCTATAATTCCCCTTTACTAGTATTTCCACTCTATTTCAGAGATGAATTATTGCCAGATTAAAGGCCTCACATATATATATTGCCTCACATATAGCCCAGGAAATATAAAAGATGTGTAGTGAATCAATCCTGATCCAGATACCAACTAGATCTTTTGGCTCCCAAAAAGTAAAACTGAAAAGAGATCCATGGGGTTTCTACTCCAGCTTTCCTATGGGTACAGGAACATAAGAACATAAAAACGGCCTTACTGGGTCAGACCAATGGTCCATCTAGCCCGTATCTTGCCTTCCGACAGTGGCCAGTGCCAGGTGCCCCAGAGGGAATGAACAGAACAGGTGATCATCAAGTGATCCATTCCCTGTCGCCCATTCCCAGCTTCTGGCAAACAGAGGGTAGGGACGCTTCAGAGCATGGTTTTCAAGTGAGAGGAGATTATAGTGGGCGGTAGCACCAGTATTATTAAAGTATGTGGTGCTGTAAAGGAGGTTGGACTTCTCTCAGAAGGAGCAAACCTGTTGTTCTCACCTCTTCCTCTGGTCCTGTCCAACTCCTAGAGCACATGAGTCTGATGGGGGAGCTCTAATGCATAGACCTGTTACAGATTTATTTCATTGTTTGCTTGAAACGTTGTTTTAAGAGGCATAAGAATGAAAATACCGCCATGACGGGAGGCTGTGGATATGTTTAGTTAAAATGCTATCAGAGTGCAAATAGATATGAACACTGGGAAAAGGATTTTTCACCCACTCCAAAACCACCCTGAATTTTGTCTATTCAGCAATGAGACGCCCTTGATACTGCACAGTGGGTCTATAAATCACAGAATCATAGAATATCAGGATCGGAAGGGACCTCAGGAGGTCATCTAGTCCAACCCCCTGCTCAAAGCAGGGCCAATCCCCAACTAAATCATCCCAGCCAGGGCTTTCTCAAGCCTGACCTTAAAAACCTCTAAGGAAGAAGATTCTACCACCTCCTTAGGTAACCCATTCCAGCACTTTACCACCCTCCTAGTGAAAAAGTTTTTCCTAATATCCAACCTAAACCTCCCCCACTGCAACTTGAGACCATTACTTCTTGTTCTGTCATCTTCTACCACTGAGAACAGCCTAGATCATTCCTCTTTGGAACCCCCTTTCAGGTAGTTGAAAACAGCTATCAAATCCCCCCCTCATTCTTCTCTTCTGCAGACTAAATAATCCCAGTTCCCTCAGCCTCTCCTCAGAAGTTATGCGCTCCAGCCCCCTAATCATTTTTGTTGCCCTCCGCTGGACGTTTTCCAATTTTTCCACATCCTTCTTGTAGTGTGGGGCCCAAAACCGGTCATAGTACTCCAGATGAGGCCTCACCAAAGCCGGATAGAGGGGAATGATCACGTCCCTCGATCTGCTGGCAATGCTTCTACTTATACAGCCCAAAATGCCGTTAGCCTTCTTGGCAACAAGGGCACACTGTTGACTCATATCCAGCTTCTCGTCCACTGTATCCCCTAGGTGCTTTTCTGCAGAACTGCTATCTAGCCACTTGGTCTCTAGTCTGTAGCAGTGCATGGGATTCTTCCATCCTAAATGCAGAACTCTGCACTTGTCCTTGTTGAACCTCATCAGATTTCTTTTGGCCCAATCCTCTAATTTGTCTAGGTCCCTCTGTATCCTATCCCTACCCTCCAGCGTATCTACCACTCCTCCCAGTTTAGTGTCATCTGCAAACATGCTGAGGGTGCAGTCCACACCATTCTCCAGATCATTAATGAAGATATTGAACAAAACCGGCCCCAGGACCGACCCCTGGGGCACTCTGCTTGATACCGGCTGCCAACTAGACATGGAGCCATTGATCACTACCCGTTGAGGCAGATGATCTAGCCAGCTTTCTATCCACCTTATAGTCCATTCATCCAGCCCATACTTCTTTAACTTGCTGGCAAGAATACTGTGGGAGACCATATCAAAAGGTTTGCTAAAGCCAAGGAATAACACGTCCACTGCTTTCCCCTCATCCACAGAGCCAGTTATCTCATCACAGAAGGCAATTAGGTTAGTCAGGCATAAACCATTGCAACACCAAATTTGTGACCTGAAGGAGCTTCTACTGAAGCTTTATGTTGCAATAACCCATTTAAAAGTGAGAGGCAGTGTTCTCCACCACATCAAACTGTCACACCCACCAAATTCAGAGCAATGTGGTGGAAGGACATATTATGTGGAAGAAGGACAAGGCCTCAGCTTTTTATCTGCCTGTTACATGTTTGAGAAAGGCCTGGCTGACTAGTTTCTTGTAAGGAAAGGAAATAAATAAGTGAACGTGAATTCTGTTATTATTTTGCAAAAGGAGCCATTTCTCTTACAAACCATCTACACTGACAGAACTGTAAGAGAACAGGCTTTATTTTTCTGCGCAGAGCAGGTAAGAAGGTAAGTAGAGTCCAGCTAAAAGGTTCTGGTTTGGCCCAAATCTACTTTCAGATACAGACAATCTTATTTGGTTGGTAGTAAAATGTGAATCAGTGAATATCATACCCTATTACCCGATTTGCTACAGAAAAGAAATCACTTTGTATATTTTCAGGGTCAAGCAAGCTAAGACAACAGATGGCTGAAATTTTTATTGGATGAGAAGTAAAAAAAAAATTACAATCTTTAAAGTGTAGATGGAGCATGCACACAGGGTTTTTCAGAGGGGTTTATTTTTTTCAGTCAGAGTCCCTCAAAGACTGAGTAGCTTCACCCAGCTGCTCAGAGAACAGCTGAACATGTCAGAAGATATGCCAGTTGTCCCATACCATCTACATGGGGTAATCTAGGATACTTCAATTTGTACTGCTGTACTCAGATGGGCTGTCTACCTCTACACCTTTAAATGCATGTGTACATGTCGCTGTTGACTCCTGTGGTACAATTGTTCTTTTAGTAGCAACTGTGATGTAGCTCAGGCAAACCTGAAAGTGTAAATATTAGAAACATCTTAAAGATTTTAAAGTGTTTTTTCTTTCCTTGTGGCACCTTAGAGACTAACCAATTTATTTGAGCATAAGCTTTCGTGAGCTACAGCTCACTTCATCGGATGCAGTATGTAGTTCATGAAAAGCTTATGCTCAAATAAATTGGTTAGTCTCTAAGGTGCCACAAGTCCTCCTGTTCTTTTTGCGAATACAGACTAACACAGCTGCTACTCTGAAACTTTTCTTTCCTTGTTAAAGGAAACAGCTATAGCTGAACAAGGTAGAGTCAACATATAACAGCTTAGCAGGTATCACAGGGCAGCAGTATAGATAGATAGATAGATAGATAGATAGATAGATAGCAAAGCCATGTAACTCTCAGCTTGTGCTCCTAATTCAATGGAAAATGGGTATGTGACAATTTCAGGGCCTGATTTTTTTAAAAGTTGGGGGCACAACTGCACATGCAAAATGTTCGTGCACTGTCATGCCCAGTGTGTATACGCCTTCTTTGCAAGTAGGTGCATAGGTCAGGTCATTGCCTGTGCAGAAGGCTAACTATGTTCCCTTGAACATTCAGTTACACACTTTGATTGTGCAATTATGGTAATCACACATGAAAACTGGGAGTGCAATTTTGAAAAAATGGACCTCAATCTCCACAGATACACTAAGTTCCCTTGGTTTTTCAGCATCTGTTCACCAGGTAATACATAGAGCAACACTGTTGTCACGGTATCCTTCCTTTTGATGCAAAGGTAGGAAAAATGGCTAAAGGAGGTAAATGGAGCAACATGAGATGGCTCAGAGTAAATGATTAGATGAATCGTCTGCATCCTTTATAGACTGACTTAATATTTAAGTCTCTGCCTTAGATCATTTAACCTTTGTATCATAAGTTTCATTTAGGGGATGGTTAATGTGAAGCTCCCATACCCAAGGCCCCATGAGTCTGTGAGACAAAACATAAAGTAAAATAAACTGTAGTGAACTTCACTGATAAATTCCTGCTATTACTGCTCATTTTTCATTAGGAAGGCCTCTGAGGCAATTCTTTGTTACAGGGATGGCTGTTTTCAACTGCTTATGTTAGGGCACTCAATTCACATTTAATAAAAATAATACTTAGCACTTATACGGGCTGTTGGAGTGCCTGAGTATTGATGGGATCACCCAAATGTGAACTGGGTAATCATGCATCCAAGCCTAAAGAAAGGCGAGCAGAGAAAGAGAGGGTCTCTCACTGAGAAGCTGAAACAAGGGAGCAGTTTTGAAGTGACTCCTGAAATGGATAGGGACTCAATGGAGCTATCTGGAGAAGGAGGTGACCTGGTGCATGAGGCGACCGGCAGCAGCATTCTGCACTTGTTGAAGAAATGGGAGGTGGAGAGACTAAAGGGAAGAGAGTTGCAGCAAGAGAAGATGATAGTCTGGCTGAGAAGTTCTATAACCACATTGTTACAAATTATCTTCTATAAGTGTCAAAACCAAAGGAATATGTGTCTGTGCCTCAACCACTAACGGATGAAGCTCTGGAATTTTATAGCTTAAGGAATTTTAGCATGTGTTTGTAGGAACCTTAAATTGCTATATTCCACCCAAAGCAGTTATTATATTCCTCTTCACTTCCTGTCCTAAATGATTGGGCAGTTATTTAGCTGCCACTTACTGTCACGGAGGTGGCTGTTTTTCAGTGGGGGGTGATGTGATTCCAGAGATGACGATATGTGTTTTATGGGAATATTTCCAATAGAATAACAGTATTTATTCAAGTAGCCTAAACAAAGCTGACTTCACTGCAACTTCCAACTGAAATTCTCAAGTCCTTAGGAGTCTGCTGAAAAAGTAAAAACCATCAGGCTTCCCTTCCCCTCTCACTGGTATTTTCCAACCCTTGAAACCTTATACTTGCTATATTCTTACCTGATTGGTTAGGCTTTGGATCTTTTCACTGAATAATTGTGCAGCTAAAGCTGGCACTTGATATATTTCTTGAGTAGGTGGAGAAGAAACAGAAGAAGGAAGTGGCTTAATCCAACTGTCCATCCGTTCATACGTAGGTGACAATGTGGAAGACTTGGGAGCTGATGGAACCTGGTAGATATTTTGTTGACTGATGGGCAATTCCTGAGAATCAGGCTCAGAGGAGGGAGACAACGTTCCTTCCTGGGAACCAGCAAGGAGTTGGAGGCGATTAGCAGGAGCCAGACCTTGTCTTCCATGGAGGGAACATTTCCACCATCCTTCACTCTCTAAAACATTCTGCTCAAGAACCGTTAGGATGTCTCCTTTGCGGAAGGCTAACTCATCTGAACACTCAGCCTTGTTGTCATATAATGCTTTTGCCAAGGTATTCTAGAGAGGAAAAACAAATAAAAAAGAACACATGCAGTAATATTTGCACTGCTTGTATTATTCAGAAGTGTTATATGGAGCTACCAGATTAACATTTCTCAGCACCTAAATTCATGCAAATTCAAAACTGCTAATATTTATTCCTAGGATCAGTTCTCAAGGCATTGGTTTTACGAAGTTAAACCTTTTGAACATATGCCTGCCATGTTTTAGTGTGTTACAGAAATAAATAATGCTATAATCATACATTGCATTTCTCTAGCACCTTCCATCGGAGGATCTCAATGAAAACATGAATTACATTAGCCTGATGAACACCCCTGGAAAGTAGGAAAGTATCATTAGCTGAGTTTTCTGGATAAGGGTACTAAGGCAGAAAGCTACTCAGGTCACGCAGGTAGACTGTGACCGATTCAAGAATAGAACCCACATCTCCTAACTTCTGTCTAATCAATCTATCTATTTACAACTCTATCACACCTGGTATCTGAGTGCCTTGCAGCTCCAAGTGTTAACCACACATCCATCCTCCCTCTCTTTTCACATAAAACACAGTGCTGGAGGTGTTATTATTCATTTCCTTTCTTAGAGCCAGATATAAATGAACCACCTGGTAGTCACTACCCTGAGGATTTCAAGAAAATAACCGCTGGTGCTAGCAATGATAGATATGGTAGCTGCTGCGGTTTTTACTGCTGTATCTTCTAACCAAGCCATTCTAGATGACAAAGTACAGTAAATACACCAGTGGCCAGCCTACACTAGCATTTCCACCAGTGTTAGTACTGGGAGAACAGCACCCAGTGCCAGCACAGGGATGGGGAGGGGGAGGGCGGTGTCAGAGAGAGATTTCCCTAAATATTCAGAGAAGGCAAGACCCCTGCTGTGAACATGAGATTAAGGACAATTCAAATCAATGAGCATAATAAGAGATCTGAGAATAGTGATGCTGCTAGTTACTTTATTGTGGAAGATAATCTCCATAAGATATTTATATGGCTCCCATTATGATAGCATCCAAGCATCTTCTCATGTATTTATCCTCGCTGCACTTCCATTAAGTTAGGAAGTGCTATTAGCGGCATTTTACAGGTGGGAACTGAGGCACACTACACATTTGTGACAGAGCAAGGACTTGAACCCACGTCTGCCAAGTCCCATACAAGCCTACTAGCCAGTAAACTATGCTTCCACTCTGTTTCATTATTTATTGTGATCATATGTATGTGGCTAAACATGTTTTTTTCTTAGAACTCAGGTTTTTAGTAAGCAATATCATTAAAATAGCCAAAAGTATAGCAAACGTGGCCTTCATCACTGGAGGCATTTTTGTACAATTTACTACTGCTGATGAAAGAATAAAAAGAAGTATCCACATACTATTTCACATACGTGGCTTTATTTTCAGCTTCAAAATAAGATCAGCCACTCTCCCCATGGAATGTGGATTAGGAAAAACAGTTTCTTATCCAGAAGTGCGAGTAATGTCCAAAGAGATAGCGTCTGCATTGGAAATATAATGCCTGATATTTTTATCCAGTGCATTTGCCATAAAGCAACAGCTGGTTTGAAGTATCAGGAGAAGAAAATCAATTTGTCAGCTCAGCTGATGAAAGCAGCCTGTTGTTGGTAATATAAATTTCTTCATTGGGATGGCTGGGAACAATGGCCCTTTTATGATACATGGGTTGATCCACACATACTGCACTAGCAGCTGTCAGAGATGGACAGCAACAGTCCCACTTACCTTATGTCATAGTTTGATTAAAATGTTCTTGTTGCCTTGTACGTGTCAGTCCCAAATTCTACTTTGACGATACCAAATGCTTGGGACCACCTGTGTTTAAGTGAGACATTCTGTAATCTCAACATACAGTATAACACAGAGAGGGACAGGGCATTTCACATTGTCACAATTGTGAATAAAGGCCAGATTTTCCTAGTATGGTTAGCAGTAATATTACAATAGCAGTGAGCGACTCCAGCCAATACTGGGGTCCCACTGTGCTATGCACTGTATAAACACACAGTAACAGACAGTCCCTGCCCCTAAGAGTTTGTGAACTACATAGAAAGGATGGGCAAAGGGAATATTTATATCATCATTTTGCAAATGGGGGGCAACTGAGGCATAGGGTAATTAAGTGACTTGTCTAAGCTCTCACAGGAAACCTGTGGCATAACCACAAGACCATCCTTCCTAGTTGCGCCAATGTAAACGAGAGGTGATATCCATGGTATGACTTGAAAAGACATTTGGCTATCAACCTATCTGTAGCTAATTATTTGTTGAGAAAACGCTATCGTAAGAATTTTTATGCCTGAGTCTGCAATTGCAGTGCACATATCTGATTTCAGAAGGGTTGAACCGACTTACAACAGCTTTAAGCTTAGCCCATGTACTTTACTTGGAATCTCTGCAATTAAGGACCATAAGTTATGGCCCATGTTATATGAATGTATGACATAATAGTCACATCATCAGTGCTTCAGTGACACCCAAAAGTGATTTCAGCAGGCATTTCTGGGGGAAATTTGCCAAGTACTCTCTAATCTCCTTGCATAGGGATAGATGGGTCTCCTTCTACTGTGAATGTATGGAGCAAGACAATCCTACTATCAGAGATGACACTAAAGAATCCTTAATCCCCATCCCTTTATTTTTGTATCTTAAATTTCATTCTACAGCAAAAAGTGTTAGAGAAAAGTTTTATTAGACCTGTACCAATAAATGTTTCATCTGGTGAATCATCATCAAGATCCAATAATAACCAAGGGGGAACACAAAATTAGTTGGAGACTTAGCGAAAATGAGGCCTCATGTTCTTAAGTATAGGAGTCAGTTTGTCTCTTGATACACAGATATTGGCATTGTTAATAAAAACTGTAAACATGGCCCAGAGTGTTTTATAACTTGTAAGCAAACATTCATATATATGATTGCTTATGTTCTGTGGCTAAATTATATGGGTTTACATTTTCAAAAGTGGCCTCTATATTAGACACTTGTGCTGATGTCAAAGGATCACACAGCTCAGCACCTTTGAAAATCAGGCCCTAGCCATGTAAAATTGGGCACTCCAATTAGACACCGAAAATTAGAAGGTACTTTTGAAAATCTGACTCATGAATAACAAATCTGTTGTTCTCATGGATCATCTTGCATTCCATTTGACAGCTCCATTCTTAATAGATGAACTCAATAGGTGAATGCAAGAGAAATGCCAGAAATTTCTGGAACAGCTTCCTTAGGCAAGATGTAATAATTAAATTGAACTAGTGAATGATTCAAGGAATTGGACCACACTGGGTCCGATTAAGTGACCGATTTTAAACAATGGTTTTAAAAGCATAATTAGATTTGAGAAGGCAGTCAGTTTGGAACAAATAAAAACAAAGATGCCTTTACATTGCATATATTGACATGTGGACTTTGGTCCCAAGGGAAGTAAAGTCATTGTGTCACAAATACCTTAGAGAGATTTACAGAAGGGCAAAGAGTAATTTTATGGCCATTAATACAACTACGTAACCTAAAGTGATACAGTACAAGTTAAAGCTCGTGCTTCAGGGAGTATGGTCAGCACCATGGGGGTCAGGAGCCAATTCCTTTACATCCCCATATTCTGCATTGCACAAATCAGGAGATATTATAGGATTTCTTCCTGTGTCCTCTGGAGCATAGGTACTGGCCACTGCTGGAAGTCTGATTCCAGATTAGAGAGACCAGTAATCTGATTGGTATAATAAATCTTATGTTTGTAGGTGTTATTGTCTACTCATCCGTTGGATGATATGATGTATGACATTTGTCACTGTATGTTCAAAAGGCCTGGAAACTGCCTGAGTATATTAGTGAGGATTTTAGACCTATTTGCCTTCGCAGTCATATTTGAAGAGATTTTAGCAGCATGCAGAAACACTTATGAAATCTTATAAATGTGCTACAATGTTATTACCCAAATTCTAACTGTTTGTTCCTTTACTGTTGTTATTTTAATCTCCTGGCACCAATTCCTGCCATAAATTGTAAAGCATTTTGCATCTAGATCTTGTTGTGAAAACCCAACTTCCTCCCTTGAAAGGTTTCAGATTTCTGTGTATTTTCTGTGTTCAGAGTAATGAAGGATCAAGGGAAAACCACAACAGCGTATTGTTATGCCAACATCAGCAACACAAAGCCAGTGAGGTAGGTTGTTCTGCAATTAACCCCTGAGCTCCAAAAAATAAAGAAAAAAGAACATTTTTGCAGGGCATAAAAACGGTAAATTGTATAGCTTTGCCTTCATTCATGCCTTGTGTTCTCCTTTGCCTATCTATTAATAAGTATAGTAAGTACCATTTTTTCCCCTCGCATTTCCTTTCTGACTATGGTGGTTAATCATCATGACTCTTACAACTTTGACAGCTAGGGAGTGAGCAAGAGAGCATAATACTTTAGGTAGTACCTTTCATCTAAGGAACCTATACAGCTTTTAGCAGATATATTATCATTACATATTATTTGTATCACAGTAATACTTTAGAGCAGGGGTGGGCAAACTATGGCCCCCGGGCCGAGTCTGGCCCCTCAGGGCTTTGGATTCGGCCTGTGGGTTTGCCCCCGACGGTGTCGCAGGCCCGCGCCACTCTCAGAAGGGGCTAGCACCATGTCCCTGGGACCCTGGGGGTGGGCAGAGGGCTCCGTGTGTTGCCCTTGCCTCCAGGCACTGCCCCCCACAGCTCCCATTGGCCGGGAACGGGGAACCGTGGCAAGGGCAGCACGCGGAGCCCTGTGCCCCCCCTCCCCCAGGGGCTGCGCAGGGACAAGGTTCCGGCTGCTTCCCGGAGTGGCACAGCATGGGGCTAGGGCAGGCATGCAGGGAGCCTGCCCTGGCCCTGGTGCGCACCGTTGCCACCCCAGAGCCGCTTTAGGTAAGTGGCGCCGGGCCGGAGCCCGAACCCTTCCTGCACCCTGCCCAGCAGCTTCCTGCCCTAAGCCCCCTGCCTGCACCTTGCAC